CATTTCACATTAACTAAAAAATAAGACAAGCAATAACACCAGCTATAGAGAGAATGTCTTGAGGCACAGTAATTATCATGAACGACGTCTACACATCACAAAAGCATCCACTAACTACATGTCTATTATTTGAGTCACAAGACATCACGAAAAACAGACGAAACTACTGAAAATAGTCCTCATTAGACAACATACGTAACTAAAAATAAAATACAAGAGAGAAAAGAGCCTAATTAAGAGTCATAAAATAAAAATCTATGGTATTTTCAGAAGACAAAACATTTAAACAAAGAGGAGTCATTAAATATAAATTAACATAAGGTTGTAATACGTAACGCCGAAACAATAGACCAAGAAGTTTTATTTCTTATATAATACGGAGTATAAACCCACAAAGGACGGTCTTTCCATCCACTGAGAATGATCAAAAGTGGCTACTATTGGCCACATAACGGTACATGGTCCAACGGTTAGTTTTTTATGACGTACGGAAATTAGCCTGAATCAACATTGCATCCGGGTACTGTTTCGCAATTCAACAAAAATCGGAGAAAGGAAGTACTTTAGAAGATAATATCCCATTGATTTTGTCGTCGTTATAACATATTTGTAACGAAGTGAAATAGTAATAGTAGTAATATTCACGACATAACAACAGGCCAACAAAAGTAAATCTCTATTAATCAGTAATCAAGTCTATATTTTATACTTGCACTGCGGTGTAATTTTGTAAAAAAATATATTCGAAACTTCCCTATTCTCTATTTAAACATGTATTCATGTCAAAATCATAACCTTCCTCTTTACCGTAGTCAGGAAAAAATTAGTCAATGTTATAGTAGGAAATTTGGGAAATCTTTGTGGTTGCATTCTTAGAATTGAAGAATTATCAAACCGTTGATTACACCAAACCAAAATTGGTAATATCTATAAATTAGTAAAACCAAGTAAGGGCACACGATTGTTGGACCGCAAAAAGTTAACTTCGTGCGAATACATGTGCTATATATTGTAGGGGAATAACCTTCCACTATCATATGGAGATCCCAATATCACAATATTGCCATAATGCATTCAACCACGAGAGCCATAATGAAATTATAATACGAGCAAAACGAATTATATAATTTTGGACTGGCTCCAATTTATTAGGAAACATGCCTACAGTCTAGTTATTATTATCAATGCCTTTGAAAAAGGTCGCTCGATCTATTTGTAAAGTTAGCTAAATGGCAATAAAAACAGTCTCGTCCCTTTGCATGGTTTCTATGCGGGATGCACCATCTGCTGTGCAGGTGTTCCGCATAGCAGGTGTGTCGTGTTGAGCACGACGTTGGCGGATGTTACACCATATAGCTATAGTCGAAATAATTGTAAAACATTGAACCTTCTGTGTATTCCTTTCGTGTTTGTGTTCCTTTTAAATTTTTAACTTACATACAATTACGAATAGTAGGTATCGTTGAGAGCCAATAAAAATATTAACTTTGAACTATTTGAACTTTGAACTTTGAATACTTTGAATTATTAAACTAATTTTAAAAAATGGAAAAACAGTAATCTGTTATTTCCTCAGTTTTCTAGACAAGTGCTGTAATTAAATAGATACATATATTTTTAAAATACATAATATACATAGAAAACACATGTTACTCGTATCCGACATACATATTTAGCTAACGTGCCTCGTTATATGTGGTTACATGGGTAGCATACTGAAGATTTTACGACAGATCATAAAACCGCAGATTCCTATAAAACGATAATATCCTAACATGAACCATCATATTTATTCGCGATAAATTTTCCATTATTTATCTGCAAAAACATTTTTTCGTATATATATTATTGCATCTACGACACAATTTTATTTGTATTTCAATGTTTAGTCTATACAACGTAGATATGTCGTATCCGTCGCCTGAACAGCATTACTGACCACCACGTTATCGTAGGCGCCGCCCGTGATGCCATGCGTTGCCATTCGAAGGAGCTAGATGTTATGGAACTTATCCTGTCATTCTACTACCTAATCCTTCCTATCCTTTACATAGCTCATATTAGTAGTATAGGCAAGGTACCTATTCAACTATAGTATTCACGCAGCAAAGCAACCAGAAAGTCAGTGGCTTTGAGACTATGCGCAGGTAAAATCTTCCTGGAATTATAAAATAACCCTCTGTATATTGTGTTATTACTTTGCTATTATATTATCATATTGTATTTCGACCATGAATATAAATCCTTGGACTTCCGAGTAGTACAGAGCTCAATTCGTCAAAACTACGAGTTTAAAAAAATCTGCTAAGAATTTCCATTATTATTTGAATCTACAAGAAAAAGTAAGTGTGTTATATTTAAACAAACGGAGACAGTGCATGGAAGTAAATTTTATGACACATTAATGCCACGACAATCAAGGTATTTGACCTTTTAAGACCATAGAGCACAGAAGAATTAATAACTCGAACGGTACAATAGCAGAAGTAGAACAAGAATCAAGTAGACTGTAAACAAAAGAATCATATATATAATAGAACAACGTGTTTAAAATATTAGCGAATATACTTGTACAAGTTAAAAATATTCAAATCGGTCTTTGGACGTATCATGTAGTACAGTGCCGCACATGAGGGCGATCGTATCGATGTTTGTCCGCGGAGGACAATGATTTTCCTTTGTGTTAGCCGCGGGCCTACTTGCATGATCACGTTTGCATTGTAAACTGCACTGAAGTATTTGAGGGAGAAACAATACGGCGAGTATGTACTCAGACCCTTTGTGTAATGAACATATTTTTGGACGGCCACATGTGCGTATATGTTATGTAATTCTGTGTTCTACTGTTAAGAGAAAGAGAGAAGATAAAGATAAAAGAACGGTGAACCATAGCGTGGTAAAGTATTTTATACTACACTGAATATAATCCAAAAGTGAATACATTTTTAATATTTTAACGTAGGTACGGCAGGATGACAACGGCCCATACGATAAGTTGTAACAACAGTACATTTGAACTAAGTGAATGACGCCTGAGTACGTAGCTCTGCCGCGCTGAAACATTAATGAGCGGGGGCTAAAAGAGGGCTTAACATAAATGTAGCTGTACTTATACAATGTAAAGGTTATGCTCTAAAAATAAAACGGCGCGCAAATGTAAAGCCCAGTGACGATGACGATCGGAACTATGGAGTAAACTTAATCCATTTGAGATGTGAGTATTTAATTATTTTTTTTTTTATGAAATCCAGTGTATGTTTAGCGTAAACAAACCTACATCCCGAAGAAAAAAAAAATTATTCATATTCACAGAAGTGTTCATTTATTTGGTTATTACCTATAAATAACAAATATTGTTTGTGAATTATAAACAAATATCCAGATGCCTGATTCCATATTCATACATACATAATGTATGTATATAATTAGGTTTGATACATGTTCTTCCTCATGCAAAATTGACAATATTTGCACTCTTTCATAAAGTTATATTTTGGTATTAATAAATCCAAAATAACATTATAAAGAAAGAGAGAGAGAAAGAGAGAGCAGATTTAATTATGAGGAAAGAAAATTCTGCATATTTGAGAAATTCCTTTGATCCTTGAATGATACATTATTTCAGAATAATATAAACTATTAGTACACAGAAACCTTGTAAGTGACTGGATAAAGCCAGGTGAGTCCACTAGTATATGATTTAATTATTCTCATGCTACTGCTAGTACCGGGTATGATATAATATATCACTGAACAATTAATTCTGCTAGTTGGATCTACAAACCAAAAGGGATCTTTTTAAAGACAAAGACAATATAAAAGGTGGTCATATGACATTAAGAATATAAAGGGCTACTGTATCACTGATTAGAACAAGATACATCCAACAACATACAAACACTAAACAATGCATGTTAATAAAGAATCTGAACTTATGTTAAAACAACACATTGATTTACAAAAACTATTGTGAAGAATAAAAAAAAATATTTCAAGTAACAATACATCATAGTTTATTTGCCACTTTTTTAACTTTTAGAACTGTTTGGTCAATATAAAAGGCATATTTCATATAAGAACAAATATATAGGCAATAATATATGAGGGCATGTACTAATATTAGTTATGTATTTAGTTTGCAGCATCTTATTTCTTCGGAATAACAAAGGAATGAATTTACTTTCTACACTATATTTATGACCCAAAGAGAAGTCTTCACTAATATTACGAAAGGAAGTGTATTCGTTATTAATTAATGTTAAATAATTAATGCTATTGGCCGTAACTGGCCTTTACAGCCTCACAAATATGTATCAATTTAATAATGATTATTTATCATTAATAAACACATAATATAACAGAAAAGACATTATTACTGTCTAAAATTATGAAGTATATGTATTTTAATATCTGTCATGGTGCAAAGTTGGAGTCAGGGAAATTATACAACTAGTTCTATTGTTTAACAATAGTACATGAAAGAAAATAAGTACTTATGTGCATATGGAACTTAACTATGTCATATATAAATACCATGTGCTTAGTTAAATTACCTACATACCTATTTATATGCAACTTAGCTACAATTCACATCAAATACTACCTTTGTATTGTCCTAAATGAAAACCCGGTAAAATGGAAAAATATAAATAATCAATAATCTTGACAAAATATGTTTATTTGCAGTAGGTGAACATAGCGAAAACAGATTCTGATCCATGAGAATAATCAGCATGTACTGTTACTAATAATACAAATCATGTTCTCAAGTCGTATTAACGAATACAAAATTGTAAACAAACAGGAATACATAGATACGCATATTACGTACCGACCACCAAATACAAAATGACGTATGGATTTAGTTAAGTACACTGACACGGACTCTGTTAGAAATATTTAACTATTCACACATATATCCGTTTATTACAAATGTTTTAAAAAGAAAAAAAATGTACCTACATGCAGAATCATAAATTACAATGAAGACAAAAACTTACCGTTTTACGACCATGGTAGAATCCGTAGAATCGCTTGTGGACCCTATGATTCGAACTATACTTTACAAATGACACTAACGTTATAGGAAACACCATGAATTTTAATAAATCACCGTCAACTGAATTTAATAAATTCACACATCGCTATAGAGCGATAGACGCACTGCTCTTCATTATTACACCAACCTCGATTTTACACTGCACTTGTAAAAACATGTAAGCGAAACAATATTTTAATTTGTCACACGTATCACAAACACTTTTATCAACAAATACAAGAAACGACAGTCGCAATAATAATCAACACTATAAGGTTTTTTATTTATAATTTTATATATCGTAAACACAAAATAAACCGTAAATGTGTTTTTGGCTTATGTACGCATTGTGTACTTTAGTTGTGTTTTGTGTGCCAACTTCAGATTAATGTAACTTCACTTTGTTGCTGCATGTTAACCAACATAAGAATAAAAATATGGGTAGTGATTTCAAACACTAAGAGAACGACAAAAAATATCGATATTTAACAAAAATTGTAACATATATATTAAAATTCATTTTCCTCACAATAATCTCACTAACATTGTATTGTTAAGATATAAGTAATGAACCATGTTTAATGTAAAAGTTTAAATTGTCTATTTAATATAGAAAATAATTGAAGCACATTTGAATAACATTATTTTACGATTCTATGAATATTTTAAATGTGGAGACTATGTATTATTAGTTAATATGTAATAAATGAAAACTGAATCTACACAATTAAACAATATTATTTCAATTTTAATTTTACAATGCTGGCAAACGTACGAAAGGGACAGAATGCTAAAGTCGAAAGTCTCAGTCCAAGACTGCTTGTTTTAGTCAGTGTTGCCACTATTGTTACAAGTTATTAAATAGTTATATTTCTAAACACGTAACAAAAACTGGCAATATTTCTAAAAAAACACTAACCAACTATTATATACGAAATTCTCTATATTCTCTCTATATATATACCTATACTTGAATCACACATACGATAGTATTATATATTTATACTATTTTTACTAGTTTGCATACAAAAATTACTGATATACATAATTTTGATAAAAATCTTATGAACATATTTATCTCTTATTTTTTGGATACTTTTAACATGTTAGTTATATTTTGTAAATAATTTCCAATTAAGATATATGTATCTATATATTAATTACACATTTCTATTGGTCAACGAATATTAAGATTTTGCCGCAAAAATTTAAACAAAATCGATACAGTCCATTTTGAGGAAGCTTCATTGATCGACATAAAACAAATGGAAATTATGTTCTTTACTATGTATCTATCATGTTAATTATTTCATTACAATAAACTGAAACTCGCTTTGAAAGTGATTACGTAAAATCGCAAAACTATTGCAAATATTTTTTTAATGGAAAACTATGGAATGATGCTACTGCGTACACTATGGTATATTCCGGCGGGCACTAGTGGAAGATAAAAGAATATGGAGAAATTCAGACCCGTTTGCGTTCCATGTTGAGTATGTAGCGGTTTTATGTTAATTATCGCATGTCTCTTACTTGTTATTGTTTTATTAATTATTTTATACTAGCTGCTTCCGCGACTTTTTCCACGTGGAATTTAACTTTATTTTTCTAAAATAAAACTAGCCTAAGTTACTCCTTATTACATCAGCTACCTGCCAAAAATAGTCGCGTTAAAATTGGTCCAACCATTGACAGACAGATAAAAATTATAAAAAACATTATTTTGGTGTACCCACTTAGTAAAAAAAAAACAGTTATTTCAATATTACAAACATACACTCCAATCTTATTTATATGTATAGATAACATCAATTCAAAAGTTTTTTAACACACAAGTTTTTTGCTTATTCTTCTTGTGATGAATCTGCGTTCCGAATGAGTGGTAGAATAAAAAAATATGACTATTCAAAAGTGCTTTATTTGAATAATGATTATTTTTATTTATATTTTTATTCAACGGCATATAATAACAGCGATGGTTTCTAGTTGGGACCGCCTGAAATCGACTTGACCGATCTAATTTGTAGTAATGAGGCCGCTGCTATCCATTGGGGTAACAATATGTTGCTTTCCTTCCCGCCAATGAAAATGAAAGCATGTGTTGTTAATAAAAAAACCAATAAAATTCTCATCCTTTTATTTCAGCTAGAATACCTCCATTATTCATGCAAAAGGATTATAATTTCATTATGGTATAAAAGATAATGATCTAAAATTAATGAGAACTTATTTAGAGGATAGGGTCCAAACTGTAGATATTGACGGTATAAAATCTAAGGGAGCTAATATTGGGATGGGCGTTCCACAAGGGTCAATCTTAGGCCCCTTTCTCTTTTTAATTTACATAAATGACCTTCCCTTTATGGTAGAGAAAATTGCAGATATAGTGCTGTTTGCGGATGATACTTCGTTAGTGTTTAAAATTGGACGTCAAACTAATCAATTAGACGATGTAAATTGTGCTATGTCTGCTATATTAAATTGGTTTACATGTAATAACCTATTATTAAATTCCAGCAAAACAAAGTGTATAAAATTTACACTTCCTAATGTAAGACCAATAAATACACAGTTATTGCTTAATGATGAAATAGTAAATTTTGTTAATGATACAGTTTTTTTAGGTATAACAGTGGACTCGAAATTACAATGGGGGCCCCATATTTCAAAATTGGCCAATAGACTCAGTTCAGCTGCATATGCAATTAGAAGAATTAGGCAATTAACAGACGTGGCGACGGCTAAACTTGTATACTTTAGTTATTTCCATAGCATTATGTCATATGGTATACTACTGTGGGGTAAAGCAGCCGATATAAATACTATATTTATTTTACAAAAGAGAGCCATACGTTCTATTTATGGTATGGGTTCAAGAGAGTCATTACGTCAGTGTTTTAAAGATTCAAATATCCTCACCGTTACTTCACAATACATTTATGAGAATATCATGTATACACGGAAGAATTTAGAGAGTTTTAGAAAACTTAAAGACTGTACAAATAGAAACTTACACAATAAAAATAAGCTAATTTTACCTAAATGCCGCCTGCACAAAGTCAGTAATTCATTCTATGGTAATTGCGTAAGATTTTATAATAAACTGCCAGAATCTGCACTAAATCTGACAGAGAGGCAATTCAAATCTTATATTAAACAATTTTTGTGTAAGAAAGCCTATTACAGGATAGACGAATTCATAGACGACAACATATCAAGTAAATAACTAGTTTATTAGCATACAACGTTATAATTTAATTTTCTCATTGCTTTCTTGATTTAATTGATTGATTTTAGAAATATGAAAGCGTAGCGGTTTTTGTATTGATTGCCGCATGCATTCTTATGGAAAAAGTGAATACTATAACTATCAGATAGCAATTGTAAGTAGCTTTGACGTAGTCTAGTGTTTTGAGTAGTCATGCTCACTAAAATGACTTGTGGCGGCGTGGTGGGCCGGGTCAGCTCTAAAATATGGTCGAGCGCAGTGATGGCTGGCTCATCCGTCATACTCGTGAACGGGTGCTGCTTGTAGGGACTGGTCTGCTCTAATCACTATGACTGATTTCCTCTTATTAATTGTTTAACCAGTTGGTTATATATTCAATATTATTTCTATTTGAGTATTTAATAGAATTAGTGCTAATTGGTGGTTTGTATTCACACACTTAAACTTAAAAATGTAAAGTAATAATAAAATTATTTAAAAGAGCAACACGCAAGTTTCTTGCTCGTTCTTCTTGTGATGAGACAGCTTTCCGAACGAGCGGTAGATTAAAAAATGTAATGACTATTCAAAAGTGCTTCAATGTAAGTTTATTTGAATAAATGATTTTCTATTCTATTCTATTCTATTCTATTCTATTCTATTCATCATCATGTACCTATAGCAGATAATATGTCATATATTATAATAACCATGAATAAATTATGAATTATAATATTTATCTAGGTGGTTTAGCTAAAAAAACATCGATTCATTAGTGAATGCAATTATCGCGAGTTAGTCGAGATATATTTGATACAAATAAAGATGGATTGGTGGGGACTATATTTTGACTTTTAAGTTTACCTATGTTCACGATGATGCAAACCAGTGTTGAGTCTAGAGGTCATCGTGCACGGAGCAACAAATATAAGTCGTTTCGGATGGTTCTATCACTGTACGTATTTTATTTTGTCTAAAATGATTTTTGAATGTGAAATTTTTGAATTGATGAATTTTTTGCTGAATAGGTAAATTGTAAATCACACAGCACCATTCTACTATAGCACTAAGCAAATCTTGTACAATGAATAGGTGTTAACTACTTATTTTTTTGTATAGGCCTAATTAGTGTACTTACAGAGGTATATGAGAAAACGTCTAGAAAAAATACAGATAGCGATATAAATGTTTGTATTCTGCGGAATCGAATCCAGGCTCGTTACAAGGCATTATGGAAGTAGAGTTCTATACTGATAGATCACCTAGGTCATCTAATAAAACTATATTTCGATAAGTACCGGGGTCTTTTTGGAACTGGATTATGGTTTTCGGGTCGGAATTTCGGGACTGTCTACTTTAGACACGAACAACAACTACGACACAAACTAATAATAATAATAAAAAAATACCCACCATATCCTCACTAGTTCCTTCACATTCAGCATTATCTTGACATTTTGTCTTAAAGAACTCCTTAAGTAATTATTTAAATACGCAATGTTTTGTAATCTTATAAATTTATTCAGAGACATAACATTAAACTTGCTTTTAATACATTTCCTATAAATTTCTTCTTGTCGCTTACACCTTAAACCCATTTTTTTAATACTGTTGTTTTATACTTCAGTCCTAGTAATATATAGAGATTTTTTTATATATATAATTTAATAAATTATGTTATCACAAATACACAATATCACTGAAAAGTTGTTTTGACTAGAATAACAAGACTACTCGTCATGCAACGACTCGTTTCGTTTTATACTGGGAGTATGGAGTGACGCATTATCAACAAAGAGAGCCTGTACCGACATGTTCAAGCATTAGAGCGTGGCCAGACATCCTGATTTCGGCGGGATGTCCCGATTTAGCAATCAAAATTAAATGGCCCGAGCGGGACAGGCTGTCCCGCTTTTCGGTGATGACTCAGAACTTATTTCTACGTATATTTTTTGTAACTTATGGCAACCATACTGGCGGCACACCTGGTGGTAAGTGACAAAAGTAGCCACCGACATCACTTCATCACATGCCACGTCACGCCAGTAGTAGTAGCCACGCCTACACATCAATCGTTACCATTGTGCAGAATTAAAATATTATGCCTACTGTACCTACTATAATTTGACTGCCATATCTCAACCTACAACAGAAACAGCTTACATAGAAGCTGACTGAAATTGGTGAGACAGAGATATTAATGCAGATGATTTTGTACAAAATCTACCTCTAGCAAAGTACGTGAACCGAATTTGTGTGATCGCATATAAAGATCTTATTCTGTCCAGTAGTTACTATTTTTAGTATATTGCACTTTACCTTACCTTTCTGGTGGAAAAGCATAGCAAATCCTTGTTATCCTTAATAAATATATTATTGAAGTTGTATTTGTTGTTGGTATTATTTTTAGTCCGCAAACATTACAGTAGGACAAAAAATATAAATACATACATACCTACTTAGTACCGTATACATGTAGTGAAAATCAAAGAGAAAGAAATACCCTAATACAGGTTCAGTCGTAAAATTTAGTAATGAACTGTACTTTGATGTGTCATTAATATTAGAAATCTGACATTAATTTAGAATATCAATTATTTAATCTAAGCAAAGTAAAAATGGATGTATAGGTACTAGGGTAAGTATATTTGTAAGGGGGAGGAGATCAACAAAATGTGACAAGGAGCGAGCAAGTTATAGAATCTTGATACATCACATTTTATAAATTAATATTTTAACTTTAAATTTTGAAATTAATAATTTTGAAACTGTCGTTGGTTAGAATAATTTCTAGATGTAAAAGTGATAGATAGTAGAATGCCTAACGTCAGACCAGAGAAGGGGAATATCACAAGGCCCTATGTATATTAACAGGAAAAAACAACCCGATTATCACATAAATATTTTTATATCGCATGGGGTTCGAACCCAGAGTCATCGGAAAATAAGACTGCTAAACCGTTAACCAGTGATAGCGCGTACAAGTTCGAACAAGTTCGTTTCACATTATTATTGCATTAGCTGCAATAGGCAGGGCTGCCTTTGGTAAAGTCATTAATTTATTATTTATTCACTTTATCTTCAAGTGTTTTCAAATAAAGAAAACGCATAGAGTTATAACTGAATTATTCTTACATCTATGTTGCTCAAGTAACTAGTAAAAAAGTAACGAAATTAAATTAATACTTTATAGTATCGCGCAGATCGAGTTTATTATGTAACGCAGTTGCTAACAATTCCCATTTGATATTAATATACTGTAGGTACAATATAATAAGTAACAATTCAAATCACAGTTGCAGTTTTACAAAACCAATCGATTTAAATTTGCTACAATTGAATATTATTTATCAATCACGTTAATAACAAAGCAATTGGATCACTATTTGTCGAGGTAACAAATACTGTACAATGTTGAACAGGCACTTAGCAGATACAAAGCATACAAGCCCTTTATACACGTATATATAATAATTTATACATAACCAACATAAATGAAAGTAATAAATAAAAGGTTAAATGATGTCCTACTTTGGTAGAGGTCAAATGACATAACTCAATACTATATTATATTTGTCTTGTCGCCTTTAATCGTCTAGTTCTTATGGAACAACAGGTATAGATTCGATTTCTAGATTGTTGTCAAAGTGGTAAAATAGATTAAAAAAGATAATCAGATAAAAATATCTAATCGAATGGAAAGAAAAATAAACTATATCTATTTCATATTCGGAATTCTAATTTAGAGTTCAATTTTAAACATCTTTATAATATTTATTATTTTTTTCTATAATTTTACTAGACATATGTCTAAAAGTTCAATTCTTCTAGTCACTCGGTTCCCCATAAACGGCAATCCTTTGTACCATCCATCCCATCTCATAGAGAGGTTATCAGACAGATCTACCTTCACACGGTCACTCCTTGAACCGATTCTTTGTTATCTTGTGAGTTCGGTACAGTGGGCACTCACCTCCATTCTCACCTTATCATATTTCACTGGTAGCCAATGTACCTATTGGTACTATTAGGGCAGGGACAGACACCGTTATCATCATGATCCTTAAAAAAATCTAATATGAAAGGTTAAATCGTAATAAAAAATATACATAAATGTATTATACGCTAATGTACATATAATACACAAGCATTATACAAAAATTTATCCTGGCCATACGTACAAACCAACGGGTAAACTAAATGTAATAAATGAATATAAACGTCATTTTTAGGTATAAGAAGATTTAGGATATTATTAGGTGCCATAGATAATGTACTTATTTTTATCTATACCGCGAGCGTTTATAGTCCACAAAATAAATGACTTAATTTTCCTAATCACATTGTGTGAAATTATCAAATACACCCAACATGTCGTCGACGTGTGTGAATAAAATTAAGTATTACACACAGCATCTGTCGTATTAAAACGGAGGAATGAGACTTTATACCTAAACCTAAAGTTTTTGGTATAGAGTACATTTATTTATTTATTAATGCTTTGGAATCCACAATTTTACAATAGTATAACATTTATTTTAATATTGAATCTTTTGTTCTCTACACTTTTAATGAGATATTTTTCTGCGTCATTAGTGATGGACCAACATTTTATATTAGAAATTGAGCAATAACACGAATTATTAAATAGAAGTTGTTTCAGCGATAATTCAATAAGTCTTATTTCATAATAATTTTCTTGACTATGACCACTACTTTTATTTAAACATTACAATAACGATATACGTTATTGTTTTAATGTGAGTGTAATGTTTAAACAAAAGTAGTGGTCATATTCGTATTGTGGGTAGGTAAGAAAGTACATACTATGTATTTAAAACTAAAAAAAATTTTTATTTCATCAAAAACAATTCCAAAGTATCTTACTTAACTATTAATGTAGGCAGTACACATTTACATCGTTTCAGCATACACTAAATAACTAATGTTTATTATAATATTAACACTTTTTTGTCTGAGAAAAAAAATTGAGATCATGCAATATTTATACAAAGTTAATCATAAAAAATATACCAAGCTGAAAGTAATGATATTTATAGAACTGAACTTTGGCAAATAAATAATGCGTAAAATGGATAACAATTTTAAAATACTTTCATATAAACGCAGTCACGTGATTAACTTTGTTGCAAATAAAAATTGAAATTGTTTCAGGTGACCACTTCATAAGTGGTGGATTTTGTTCTTCAAGATTATTCCACGTTTTTATGACTAAACCTAGATATCATTAGGATTTCACAACATGCATTAGTCATAGGGATTCAGTGAGGGAGGAGAGTGGGAGGGGGGGAAGAGATTGCGTAACGCTGTTGCAATAGGCTAGTTGACTAAATTTGAAAATGAGTTTATAAAAATGGCTTAGTATTTTTATCTATTTTACTTAATATCTGAAATAGGTAGAATTAATAACTGAAATAGGAAGAATTAGATTCCCACACAGATTACTAATTGATGTCTATGATTAACACAGCACAGATGCATACCACTTGGTCTAACTATAAGATTTTGATAAATATGATAACAAAGCCCATAGGAAGCCACCTGCAACGATTGTATTGTTACGAACTTAACAGGTCATTTCGTCTAACGATTACGTATAACAAACATATGGTGACGAGTATATAAATATTTTTATTTACGCACTATTTAAATATCTGGTACAATATAACTACGGAGCAAAAGGAGAATCTTTTAAGTGGTATATAGGTAAACTCAGGAATGAAAAAAATTTACAGGAAATCAACAATGATGCATTACTTTATCTACCATTATCCTCATATACATATCATCCCAAGAAGAATGACTACGCAAGAAGTAGGTAATGATACCAATAAAGTTTTGTAAATTAAAAATAATAAAACAATGTAGGTACATATATCTACAAAATAAAACATACACTTACATGTATACAAATATACACTAATATACACATAATTTCTTTTAAACACAAGCTCTTACTTGTGGCTATAGCATGTTACGATGCATGTATAAAACATGATTGTCTCATCTCTCATCATCTCATCATGAACGTCCTCCATATGTTTTCATGCACACCTGTCGTGCATTTGATGGAAATAAGGCAAGAAGCAGAATATAAAATACACGTAACTGTCACTGAACGTTCAATATTCTTCATAATCATAGTAATCATCTTCCTCGCCATTTTGCAACATGGCCGCCAGGGACATCTCACCGGCCGCCTCCGTCGTTTCCGCCTCCAATTCGTCGTCATAATCGTCGCCCGCATCTGATAATTATAGCAATGATAAAAATAAAAAACAATCCAAATAATGGGCGTATGTAATTGGTCAAGCATAGGTTATTTATTTAAACTCTTTATAGCACCAGACAAAGAAAACACACAAAATGATAGATCATCACAGAGAAGAATCATCATCTTCACTGAAATGACCAAAGGACAACTTAGGAAATGAGCGAGACCATTTGACCATTTATTTTGGCATATTATATTGGCGTATCAATCGATACACTCTTTGATAATGTTTGTCTCTTTATTCATTTTTGTATATGCAAGTCAAGAAAACTATATTAGTCCAAGCGTTAGGTTAATATTATACCGGTGAGAGCTGGCGTGGGTGGTGCAGGTGTAGCCGGGGCTGAGGTGGGCGGTGCGGGGGTCCCGGGTGTCCCGGGGGGCCCTGGGGTCGCAGGGGTCGGGGGGGCCGACGGCGTGGAGGGGCCGAAGATGTTCGGTATTATTGGGGGCGGCTGTTTCTTTCTCTTCTTGCGCGGCACCGGAGACTGGGGCACCGCAGTTTCCGAAGGTGTTGAGAGCTTTGAGCTATAATTATAAATAGCGATCATTGATATTCAATATTCCTATACTCTGTTCATTCATATATGCACGGTATAGTGAACAATATTGTCATCATGTAGTTTTATATTATATAACTAAAGAAATAAGTAGATTAAAACTGACATAATTAGTTCATACGCAAATCTATTTATTAGTTTACATTATTATATTCGATTTATTATGAAAGAGAGAAGAGAAGAATGATATAGGTATAAAAACATAAATACGTAAATATATCACACCGTCATCCCTCAACTAAGTAGAACACAATGACACAATTACACAATGACTATCGCCATTTAAAATTATAAAATATTTTTTTATTTTGAAATACAACCTTTTTAACTGAACTTTGAAATTTGCTATAAAATCATCATAACAATTTATTATGGTCTCCATTGTAAAATTTGTCAAAAAGGAAGCGTTTTCATGTATTTAGTTTTATCTATTTTTTTATAGAAGTAATTTAAATATAGTAAAACATACTATAAAATAAAATTATTTTTCGAACAAACACAAGTCGGATATTATCAACTAATTCTCATCGGTCGTTCTAACCTATTATTATTTTAGAAGTCCTTTAAAAATGACAGAGAAAACAGACTAAAATAAACTTCTGCAAACGAACAGTAGGAGCTTCCTCCTGCGTACACTTAGATTGTGGAATGAACTACATGCCGAGATTTTCTCAATAGACAAGTTTTGCAAGGGAATGGTTATTATTTCTTTCTTATTATTATTAATTCAGGTTTCTTAAGGGTCGGCAAATCAATGACACCCCTGGTGTCTGAGGCATCCATAGGATACGGTGACCATTTACGATTAGATGAGCGGTATGATATTGTTTTGTTTGCCACCATCGTAGTATAAAAAAAACAACTCACTCTGAAGAAGTTTCTACTGTAGTTCGTGCTGGTGTAGCCGGCAGAGGGGTGCCAGGCTGATCTAAGCTTTTTAGTATATCATAATTAATCTTCGAGCTAATCTTCTTTTCTGCTAGCATTTTACCAATTGCTTCGCCGGCGGTCGCCGCACTGCATACTGTCTTCTTCTTGTATGCACCGCGGAGTTTCTTTTTCTTATCTTTACCCTCTTCTTTTTCTCTGGCACGCATTTCTTCTTTTACTGTATATTTATTAATTTTTATTATTAATTGTTTTTGACAGACTCATATTTTATGCACTTTCTACCTACGGGCTTTTACCATTACGTGGCGGGTGTGAGTAGCTTCTGTTGCTATAATTGCACGTATATTGTTCAGAGTTCACATTTCGTGTAGGTTGGGTATAGGTATGATAATAATAATATCTAATATATCATAATTTATAAGGTTGGTTATTGCTTGCATTTTTGAAGCAAAGTGCAGAAAATGAGGCTTCAAAAATTAATATTATAAATATAAGACAGAACAAAAATAATAATTGTTAAATTTTACGTAACATTACCACTATTATTACTACCACAATCAGGACCACCACTAATAACTATATTACATTTTTATATATTTATTGCAATACACAAGGCTTTTTTTTTGTTAATATAATTAACCCCAACTTCTTCATGCAAAATAGTGTTTCAACCTGTAAGTGGACGGGGGGGAAGGGAACACTATGGTTTAATACAAAAAATGGACTAATTGATCTAACACTATTGTTAACATCTTCAAGATTTCTGTTCTATTATTCATAAATGACTAACATTGCGATTCTGAATATTTGAAATTATACAACGAGTACAAAGTAAGTTATTAAGTAATACATACTTTTCTGTTCTTTTAAATATCCGGCGTTGATTTTATTCCAGAGCAAGGTTTTATGTCTTGACTCCTCGTCAGTCATAATGAGCGAGCTGATGTAGTCCTCATCCTTGTCTGCGAGCATCAAATCTTCAGCATTGTGCAGGTCCTTACTAAACTGCTGTTTGGGTTCCGGTTTTACAAATTTGTCACTTTTGTCCTCTGTTTGTCCAAGACCTATAACGGCTAACTCGGGACCTGAAGTATGTATGATTATTAATTGTTGTAACTTTAGATATTTATACATGTAAAAAACAAGGAAATAGAGATTTTTTGAGGACTCAAATTTAAAAAGTTTTTAGTATAAAATTAAACATCACATATGCATAAATATTTGCAAAATTATATAGCAATTTTCTAAATATTTAATATGAGTGTATCACTTTTCTTTGAATAACTCCCAAAAATATTACGATGTAAAATTCAAACTTATGAACAGAGGAGACTTATATTGCTGGGTAGAATTGTCACAGCCGTTTTAGAATTATACCTCAACCATTGTCCAACTTTGGGTTGCATGCTCAACATCCGATTATTTATTATAAACTCAATTTTAACTAACCATAAGTTTAAATTGTATCACTAGTCTACCCGGTCTCTTTCCGTAAGAAGATTATCAACCTACAGATACATGTAGATCAAGCTTAGTATACAAATTTATTTCGATTTTTGTATCTCTTTAAAACTCTGTTTTAGTATTTTCCTTTTACAACATCTGTGGGGATGCAAAGAGTGTTGACTGGAAATTTGTATTCTCATTTACGTTAAGAACTATTTCAAATTACCAAGGCCTTTCTCCAGGTTCTTCCTGGCGGAGGGATTCGCTGTTTCAGTTTTTGGTTCTACATCCATCGCGATCTCTCCGATGAGTTCAAGGGTGTCTTCGGCTGCGAAACGTGATGCCTCGGCCTCTTCTGAAGTACCATCGTCTGGAAATATAAATGTAAGAGGTAAATACTTCATTTACAACAGCTCTTGCATTCCTGAAGATGAATTTTATTTGTTAGTGTCTAATTACATATTACTCTTGAAATTTTAATTTTTATGTAGAAATTTTCTATAAAACAAACTGAGCATGAGCAAATCCCTGCATCTCTTATTTCTTATGATAAATAACTTGTACAAGCACATTTAACATTATTGAAAATCATATAGAACCTCTCTTTGGTATTATGATATTCACTTAGTATACATAAACAAGTATCTACTGACAAAAGCAGAATCATTGGCAAAAGTCAAGCGATGCATTGAAGAAAGTATGGTAATTTTATTATGTATCTGAATCCAGGTTGGTTTAATTACTATACGCTAATATACTAGTTTTGTATTCTCACCTACGCCTATTATAGAGGCTGGTGTTGTGATTGTGGCAGCCTTTTTTCTCCTTGTGTTGTCCTTCTCTAGCTGTGCATCTATCTCTTTTTGCAATTCTGAAAGCTCTCTTTCTCCGTCTTCTTCTTCCATAAGCTATAAAATGCCAACAAAAGAACTTATTATAACTCTCTATTATATTAATAAACTTTAATTAATGATTATGAACACTGTTGCTCTAAACTAATATTATAAGGAAGAAATATTCTTGTGTAATAAATGATAAACTCAAAAAATACCTTAACAATTTTAAAAGTTATTTTATCTATAATAATGAGCAAAATTGAACTTTTGATAAGCGTAAAGCTGTTGTTGTGTGTCTGTCTGTTTACTTGTTACCTTTTCATGACTAAACAGTTGAATAGATATAGAATAGAATAGAAAAATCTGACATGAAGATACATTATATTACGACGACGAAGATTGGCTTCTATATGGTATCTCTTATCTCGAAAAATAATCATGGCTGATATAGAGTATGAAGTTTTATGCAGATGAAAGTGCGGGATAACTCTAATATTGTAGGTATAGAATGGTTTTGATCGTAGCTACATTTATACAAATATATTCACATATACGGTAACAACACAAATACCTTTTGCAGTCTTTCTTTATCTCTTTTCCTAGCCGCTCTAAAAGCTGGCGGGTCCTGTTCCTCTTCTAAATCAACCGTCATAAACTCGTCGGGAGTGAGCGCACTAGAGGGTGTTTCTCCAAATTCAAGCAACCGCTTCCTTAATGTAGATTCATGGACTTTCACTATCCGAACGACATCGGCGGGTGTGCGGGAGAAATTATGTAGCCGGGCAGCAATGAGAAGAGCTAAAATTTTATTATAAACTATTTAGAAGCAAAGCAAAGTATATACACGTACCCTATTTCTATCTTTATGTTATTGATATCCGTGGTGCTGTTCATGTATACAAGATACAGTTATAGCTTACCATGAGGTGAGCCGTCAGCTTGTTTTCCATTCCAATTATATAAAAAATAAGTTCGTAGTAAGTAAAATGTATATATGACAATTCTAATTTTATTTATATTCATTACATTTTCCTAATTTATTTCCACTCATTCGCGCCACAGAGAGTAGGCGGCTATGATTTTGTAAATACTCTCTTTCCAAAGGTTGTCTAAAAGAGATTTCTTAGCGATAAGACTGCCTTTTGTATCAGTTTATGTAAACAAAACTTTTATTATTTTCTGTATCTGGTGCAATGCTACTAATGATAGACCAGCTCTTAGATGTTATGACCAAAAACCAATTTGAGGTACAAGGCTACGCAGACGATATAGTAGTCATGGCCAGAGGGATCTGTCCGACAACAATATCAGACCGCATTCAAAGAGCACTAAACATCATAGTTAAATGGTGTAAAGAAAATGAATTATCAGTAAATCCTGATAAAACAGTTATTGTTCCGTTTACAAAAAGGAAGAAACTTGACAAACTTGTCATGCCTAAAGTAAATGGAAGAAGATTAGAGTGCTCCAAAGAAATCCAGTACCTAGACGTAACCTTCGACCAAAAACTGACATGGAACACACACATAGACAACATAACTCAAAAGGTGAAAACATCTTTGGGAATAAGCCGACAGGTAACGGGGCCCAGATGGGGAATTAACCCCAAAATTGCCCTATGGCTTTACACAGCAGTGGTGAGACCGCTTACCGCCTATGCCTGCGCGATCTGGTGGCGGAAAACCCTCCATCCACAGCTGCCACAAAGCTAAACAGCCTACAGAGAATTACTTGTCTGATTACTATAGGAGCCATGAGCACCACGCCGGGGGCAGCTCTAGACGCATTATTGGACTTGACGCCCCTTCCTTTATTTATACAGGAAAAGGCGAAAGCCAATATGCTCAGAATCAGTTCCCAAAGTAGGATATCTTGGCATTCCCTGGCCATAAAAACTAAATAAGACTCGATAATGAGTGATCCTATTCTGGGAATGCCTGAAGACAACATGGCACCAGAGTGTAACTTTGTACAATATTACAAAATCGAAATATCTGGAAGAGACGAATGGCAAAATAACCATAAACCAACTCACTCAGAACAGGACCTAGTTTGGTTTACAGACGGGTCCAAAATAGGAGATGATGTAGGATGTGGAATATGCGGTGTAAAACCCAAAACTGCAACTATATAGGAAAATACGCATCAATCTTTCAGGCAGAGACTTACTCCTTAATTAGATGTATGCAAGTAATCCTAAGCCTTAACTACATCAATCAGAACATATACATTTACACGGACAGTCTAGCTGCTCTACTAGCACTTAACTCGTACGAAATCCGTCCTAAACTTATTAGAAACCGTATCTTGCTACTAAATGAAGTAGGAAGCAGAAATAATATTATACTGAGATGGGTCCCTGGGCACTCAAATATCGAAGGCAATGAAATTGCCGACTATCTGGCAAAGTTAGGGGCAAAAACCGCCCAACTGGGCCCCAAACCCTTCTGTGGTGTGCCTCGTTGCCTAAAACTGGGACATCTTAAATTAATAACCAAACGAGAACTCTGAATCACTGGCAAGAAATGCCAGGATTGACATATTCAAAAGCCCTAATATCGGGCTACTCGTAGAAATACTCCAATAGACTACTGCTATTGAGTAAAAACAACGTATGCACGATGACCTCACAGAACACTGCAAATTAAACAGGCATATGGCTAAACTAGGCCTTTACACGACAAAAATTTGCAGATTATGCCAAACTGAAGAGGAAACGCCACTACACATCCTATGTGGTTATAGCCCACTCATGCATAAACGAAATATCTCCTATGGAAAGTTTACACTCTTTCCCGAGGAGATAAAAACCATCGCTCCTAATAATATCCTTCAATTCTTGTCCCTGACAGGTCTAGGCAGCGAACTTTGAAAGAGGGCGAGCACAATAGATCTATGTAGGTCGCAGTGATACAGGCGCTACAAACACCTGACAATAGGGGGGAAAGGGATTGTTAGTAATGTGGACTCATGACCCCATTACTAGCAATGTACCATGTCAGGTCGACCTCCACGCGGTTCTCCCTGGAAACTATCGTCATAAATTCCTAGTGAATTTGTCACGAAAACCTGACCTCATGCTCATCTTAAAACTGGTAGCGTAAATCGTTAGCGCAGGCGGTTGCATCATTCCATTATCATCCATAAATAAAAACACCTGACAATAGCCTAATCAACCCAATAAAAAAAAAATCTGGTGCAATAAAGAGTATAAATAAATAGAAAAATAAAAACTTAGTAAGTATATTACCTACTCTCTACTAATCTCGTACATAAAAACTTGAAGACACAATAAAACTGCACTTTCAACACCAAACAAAGTGGATAAGGGACATTCAAATAATACGTCATAGTAATTTTATATATTCGTTTTTAACTTTCTCCCACACTTCCCTCTTGCACTTCCCCTGCCGCACACGGCGGCTCTGTCACATCTGGTTACATCTCATAATACTTAAAATATTCAGTTATTGTGATAAAATTGAAATATGATATCACAAAATAGACCCACTCCCAGGGATGTGAGGGGTCCTAGGTTACATGACTTTTTTTACATGTCCATGTTTATAATGTCATACTTTGTCGAACCCCTAACATATTTCGTAATTAATGGTTGGGTCCAAATAAGAAAATAAATTTTGTAATATTTATAATCAATTGACACAATTTCCACGAATATTATTCTGTCTGTTGTAAAAAGCTGTATGAAAAACAGTTGTAAAGTTTTTGAGTTTGTCGCCTTCAGAGAAACGAGCAGGCGTGAGCAGGATTTTTTTATAAGTTAACAAGTTTTTATTGCAAGAAACATAAGTACATAGAAAATAAAAGAATATAAGTATGTGCCTGAAGTCACGACACTGTTGACAATAACGCATACACCACTCCCTTGAGCCAATAGTTTTATTTCATGAATATAGTGTATCTAATTTACCACGAGTTTGGCATTGAGGAACCATTACATAATGAAGAGTCATTCAATTAAAATATAATAAATTCTATAGCGAATGCAATATAACCATCCAAAAAGCATTGAATACATTAGGTAGATACTTCAGTTCCGGTGTCTGAGCATGCAAATTATTTCGCCAATAAAACCTAACAATCTCGTATAAATTATCCAATATCATTCAGCTGAAGTTTGGGTTGATCGAACAGTGTTATTACATCCGCATAGCAAATTTTCATGGTCAGGCAATAATCATTGACTAGCACTGAATTTTTTTGTAAGAGACCACCTTCACTTTGTGCACAAATTGATAATGAACAATACCACAGGGTAATAATAACTAAATAACCCTAGACAATTTACACTGCGCCGTTTAGTATAGTCCCAAAATAAGCAAAGCTTGTATTATGAGTACTAGAAAACTTATAGAAGTATATAGGTTAAACGTATTATTTTTGTAAATATCTACATATTATACATAGAAAAACCAAGACCGTTACAAACAATAACATTCATGAATATAGATGTTTTACGCTACAAGGAAGAGAATTGATGCGATCATCGAAAGTCAGACAGTGTACTCGACAAGAGGCCGTCTAATAAAAGTACCTACATGTACTTACATCGAAAAAAAAACATCTCATTTTAAAACATCTCATCCAATTTATATTGGCGATGTTTCATTGAATGTTACTTGGGTTGTTAATATAAATAATCTTAACTATGGAAAAACAAAACTTTAGTAATAAACAACAATTTGGTTATCGAATCGAGCTAAACGAACAGTCAAACTATTTATTTACTAGTACAATTAATTTGTCCGTCAATATTTTCAGAGAATACTAATCAATACTATTCTAGAATAATCTATTAAGAATAGATATATTACAGAATACTATACAGAATAGGCTATTTCTAGAATAATCCAATTATTTTGGTAATGTAAGTTTTTAATGTGTTATATTTGATTCGGGTTTCAGTTTCTTCAGCATGATAATGAATGTATATTGACCTAAATTAAAAAATTGTAACAGATTATACCAATGACCTATTTTCACACGTTAAATCTACACTAATATACATGTTAATATAATAATTTCACATCAGTTACAAACAATTTCTATCATTAGTTTCTATTATAATTATGTTATACGGTTATAAATTTAGAATAGTTGCGTAAGCAGGTGCGCCGGTGTTATTTTTAAACGCAGCTTACGTATGTTATCACCAATCAGAGTACAGAAAACTAGGTTGTTTGAATCACGATACACACTTGACATACATGCAAATAGAACAAAAGAAACAATTGAAATGAAACATTTCCATATATATACAATATATAAAAAGGAACCTCAAAAGACATGCAAATCAACACAAATATTATAGAAGCAAAAGTGTGTCAGTGTGTTAGTCTGTTTGTTTGTAACTTCTTACATTAAATTTGAATGTTTGAATGGAAAATCCTTTACATCAAACAAATTTCAATGTAAAGATAGATTGCCCGATTTATCAAGAGATATATTTGATAATAGAATAGTAAACAAAAACAGAACAGAAAAAGTAGTTAATCACAATTAGTAAATAATATATTACATATATATTTTATACTACTATGGTGGCAAACAAGCATACGGCCCATCTGATGGTAAATGGTTATCGTAGCCTTTATTAGCCGTAGTCCTAATTTACGAATACCTAAAGGTTCATATAACAAAAGTTTGAAAACAAAAGTTTACCTGCCCCACAAATTCCAGACGGTCTACGACCAGAATGTATAGAGTCCTTTTGCATACGTTTGACGAGTCGCAACGCCGTTGTGGTGACATCATGGACTTTATCTTCAAATTGTAACTGCGACGCGAATCGCAGAATATACATGCAAGGGTCTGGAATTTAAACATTATGTTATATTAATATTAGTTAAATATGAATTGCCAAATCACCTACTTTCTCATGAGTGATTTCTGAGAAGATTTCTTAATGGACGTTGACACTGAAGAATATGTTTGCAAAATTATCGTTTTGAGAAGGACATAGTAGAGATGTATATGTGTGGGATATGGTTTGAGAACAGAGCTGGCAGGCGAATTTCGCATTTCACAAAAATATACTACTAGCTTACTATATTGAGATACATCATTATTATTATAATTGATTTTCATATACGTATGCCTATACATTCATTACAGAATTCACCATCCCACTATTACAATGTTAATTATTTATTGACCCCGTACTACGTTTTACTTGCAAATGTATGAAGGTCTAGTTATATCGGTTCGGTGACCGAATGGGGTCATCAAGTACGGTTAATGTAAATGTATCTAGGTACCTATGTCGCCGAATTCACATTTGATATTATTGTAGTAGAGGTCATGCGTGGCGGAGCTCCACGATTTCGGTTTGCATAATGGCACGATGACGTAAATCTCTGACAACCAGTTCACTACTTCTGGTTATATGTGGATCGGAAAAATCCACTTACCAAAAATATACTCTATTTTGCAATTAATTAATTCAAAGCGTGAACTATTTAATTTTAAAGATATATCCCAAAGTCAAGAGCATATATTAAAAAAAAGACTTTTTAGCCACATGTCAATGTTGCGTCTGATCGATCCCCTGTCTCAGTCAAACGAGGATCGTAATTAGGACGTTTCGAGCCGCGATTCTATCTCCTATCTACTGGTGCAGTCAGCATAAAGTCGTCAAACAGGAGTTGGACTTCAACCGCTCTATATATCTTTCCGCGAATTTAAAGTGCCATCTGCAATCATCGCTTTTTTGGTCCGGTAAAGCAGTAAAGGCCAGTTGAAGCCAACAACGGTAGATTTCGAAATACGAAAAAGGTTTATATTTTTCAGTATATTTAACCCTTCGGTTGTAATCATAAATTAACTGGCGAGAAATTCAATTGCAACGTCAGGTCGCTATAGCTAGCTATACGTAGCTATAGTTAAACGTACATACATAAATTATAATAGATTCACATGCGTGTATAACATGTCCAATATGTGGAACTGTTGTTAATTTTTATCATCAACAACATTCTCTGTCTGCACAACTCACGGTCAACCGGTCGGTAGACTTTGTCTGCCGGCGGCGTTAGATCCACTAAATGTACTCTAAATTTTGTCTAATTGTAATAAATGTAAATAAATAATAGTGTAATACGTAATCACATTTATGTATTTTTATATAACATTACCATTCTTATACAAATGCATAATCCATTAGTGTGAATAGTGTGTAGGTATATTTATTTCACTAAGTGTGACCGTACCCGCAGTATCACCCGCCGCGCCGCTTAATTTAAAAGCTTTTATTCAAAGATACGATGACGAGTACGTCCTAAGAGAGATATCTGTTATTCGACAATTGCAACGTTTACATGTCAGATATTATCTGTAGATTTATAAATCGCACATGGGTTGTCAGGTCAAATCCTGGATATTAGATGTTAAAACACAGAACAATGATATAAGTAAATTAAAAGATTTAGTATTATATGAAATTACTTTGGACGTCATTATCACCTACAAGTACATAGTTTATCGTGTAGAAAACCATTAAACTTGAAAGAAATACGATTATCAACTAAAAGTTTAATGTTATATATTACGAATGCGGTAAAGCGAATTGTTCCGCTTCAAAATTATGACAGTGTTTTTGTTGAAGTACCATTCACTAGTTCATGTTACGTCACATGTTAACACTATATTCAGGGATGTTAATAAATATTCAACGAAGTAAGGTTATCGATGTATACATATTTTGAATTGCGGATATATCTTTTACTTCTTTTGCACATTTTTACATGTACAAATACAGATAAATGATTTAACAACAGTCCCTGTACTCAAACGCATTCATAGCTCCTCAATAATTGTTCTATTTTTTTTTTAATTCTCTGTGTATACTTTCGACTTATGCTTGATTTTAATGAGCGAAGATAATAATAGAAAAATTGTCTAAGTCTTTTTTTTCAAATCCGAAAATTGGATTCGTTAGACAGTAGGACGTTCACACAAATAAATCATTACATTGGCTAATGCATTCAAATAATATAAATGAGACAAAATACTAGCTCCTTTCTTCTTAGCGTAAATTTGAAATTCTTATTTCATTCATAGTTGTTACCGCCAAATTTTATATCAAGCCACTGACCTTTCAAGGTGAGGACATTCGCTAATGATCTTGAAGGCAATACGAGTACTTCGATCGGTAGTCACACCATATAATATAACAGCACTGGTACAAGCAGTGCCATATGATCTATGGCACTGGTCGAGTATCATTAGTATCTATTTGTAATTGTTTACCCTGAATACACCGGAACAGCTTCTCATGCTTATCTATTTCAAAATGAATAAAAAGGAAAAATTTGATCTCATTGTATATATAAGCGATCTAATAGAAATTAAAACAAGAGACGTGAAGCCGATACTAACCTAATACTGGATATGGTGAATTAATACTATATCATCATTGCCTTGCCTTTATCCCATTACTCGTACTTGGGGTCGGGGCGGTATGTCATATATTATAAAAAATGTAAATAAACTCTACAATTGTGAAATAAAGCTATAAAAATCCCTACTTTTATCTCCTAAGTTTTTGAAATAAATACAATTCAAGAAACTTCAAGAGTTATTGCATCTAGTAAAGAATAAACCGCAAGTATGTAAAACTAAAAATAAGTCTGTTAGGAGATTTCTCAAAACTGAAAAATCATAATAAATCTCAACCCATTTAGTTATTATTTTAGATTTTATGTTCTAAAAGATATTCAAAAAAGGTACTTTATGTCACATTCATAATTAATAACAAAATATGATTACGATATACAGAAATGAAAGAGACAGACGGACGCACGCGTACATTTATATACATTTATGCATTATAATTGTATGGATTCCATTTAGTACTAGATAAACTATTAAATTTTTTTATACCAAAAATTTTAATAATTAATAGTTTATCTAGTCAGTCAGTCCCGGCAGTTGTTTGCAATAAGACCAGTTTTGTTGACCATTCGGTGCAGTAATGCCGTATATAAACATTAATTTACCTTGGATCGTATCTAAATACATCTTATGTAAATTAAATTCCGGTAAAAACTTATGAGGCAAAGGAATCTAGTATCCTGATATAGTAAAATAAGAACTACAGTACTGTGATCAACATACTATGGCCTCTTCACTGGTGTACACTTAACTTCCTATGTGTGTATTGCTAATTCCGCTTTCCGCCAATTCAAGGTATACTACTATTTGTACAATCCATTAATTTTGGTTAACTATTTATTTTGTACAAAAATATAGATTTTACAACCTCTTGTCGTACTAATGAGTACGAGATAAACATGTATCCTTTATACATAAAATATAAATATTATAAACTCATTTTAACTGATGAATTGGTAATTTTCAGTCAGAAGAAAATGGCTCGAAAGACGAGGACAAAAGTTCTGTTCAATTCTAAAATAGACCTAGTCGCAAACTAACCAGAGCAATATTATGGATAATAGACGTCTACATATATAGACATATGTACAACTGAGAAACATACTTAATAAGTTTTTTTTCAATGTAAATACGTAATAATTCATATAAAACATAGAATAATACCACAATCATATAAGTCTTAGATTAAAAATACGTAAGTATTAATATACATATGTTTGTATTGTGCTGGACAGACATTGTGACTGTTGTAGAGTGAGATAATACGTTAGATATACATACTATATATCTATTTCACCAAGTCCGTCATTGATATAATGAAATTTATAACTACAACTGCTATGGATTTATGGGGAATAAATGCGTGTGTGGTATGCTCTTGGCCGATTATTACCACAGTTTATTATCACTCTAAAAAGAACTTAAATTCAAATATTCGTATCACATGTTTATTACAAATCAAAAATAGTATAAATCGTTAAGAGGATAGTTGCCATTCCAAATAGTGTTTGAAATGGCCTCCATTCAACTCCATTGTGATGGGTGGCAATGAAAATGCGTGCTTCTTAGTCTGTTTTCCTGTTACGTAATACGAGTAAGTACAGATGTGGTAGTTAGGGTCGCCTAAAACAACTATTGACTATCTATACACTACTACAAATCTACTATTAATTCATGCCTACTATAATTTTGATCAATATAGTTAATTCTTAAAAAAATATATACATATAAGTAAATCTACTATGTACATATATTGGAAGCCAGATATATAACAAATAAATTCCCATTTGTAATGTCAATTCATAGTGTGATTAAAATGTAACTACTATTTTTGACTAGTTTTAGGGTCCTATTTTATAAAAGAATATATCAATTCATTTTATTTGTCAACCCTGTCCCACAGTCAGTACAACCACGCACAATACAACTATATAGATTGCACATTACAAATTGTACAGATTCCATTAGTTCCTTATATATACTACGATGGTGGCAAACATACGGCCCATCTGATGGTAAATTGTTACTGTAGCCTAAGGACGCCTAAGACATCAGGGGTGTCACGTGCGCGTTGCCGACCCTTAAAAACCTTAATATATCCTTCTTGAAAAACCCCATGCTGTAGTCTCGTGAGAAAACATCGGCAGGAAGTTCATTCCATAATTTAAGTGTACGCAGGAGGAAGCTCCTCTGAAACCGCACCGTCCGAGGACACTTAGGTTCTAGCGTGTGGGGATGAATTATGTGTCGATGGCGAGCGGTGCGATGGTAAAAGGTAGGCATCTTGTCGAACATCAGAACACAGTCCATTGTATATTCGGTTGAACACACAAAGCGAAGCGAAGTCTCTCCTCAAGCTAAATGGTGTGATACCACCATAGAGATCCGAATCATCGACAATTATCATAACACGTTTCTGAACCGAGTCAAAAGGACCGACCTGGTATCCAAGTGCTCCTGCCCAAAGATGAGAGCAGTACTCCATGTGCGGCTGAACCTCCGACTCATATAAGAGGAGGATATATAAAAAGCTCGGTGTGCTCAATAGAACAGCTATTGAGTACAGCGAGCTTTTTGGTCGCCAGCTTCACCTTTAGTATAAGTATAGTTAAATATATAGAATTAGAAAGTATTTTATTTAATTTATGACATATGGACAAAAATCGGTTATTCAGCAAAACTTTAAATTTATTTACTCCAAATTGAAATATTTATTAAAAACTATTACAAGATACTACTTCCTCATTTAAGATTTACCCATTCCAAATTAATGAAATCGTTTAGTCGTGAAAACCAACCACAATAAAAAATATCTTCGATTTATTAATTACAACTATCATTGTATATATTCCTTTACAATACAACTTCCAAAAACAATACATGACTATACCATATACTCGACTCAATTTTGGAAATTCAATGTTAAATTAAGATTCAAAGGTCAGCTGCTTAATTGCTAATCCGCAGTTCCTTGTCGTTACTGATTATTTTAGTATAATATAAGATATTTTTATATGTATATTAAATAAACGCGATATTTTGGCGATTCCTGAACAGATTTTGATGATCGGTCATCTTCTACTGTCACTAGTTCTACTGAAAATGAGCTTCTAATAATATAGTCTCCATAGCGATTTGGTCGTACATAAAAATTTTATTTATAATATAAAATAATATATATATATGAGATTTTGTAAAATTTTATGAATATTATCTCTTGTGTGTTTATTTTGTAACGTGTTCGTGATACAAGTGAAATAGACCTTTTTCATTATAAAAATGGGAAACACTCGTATGGGTTTCATACCCATACGAGTGTTTCCCATTTTTTTTTGGGTTTTTGTAACACGGTGTCTTCATGTATTTATTTAGTTACTCAGTACTATGATATCAATTGGTTGTACCTATAATGAGATAACGTTAAACACTTACGACATATACATGGATTTGAACTATAATACCTACTACTTATTTGGATAATATAATAATACGATGTATATCAATTTTGATTTCTCGATTAATGTGATTGAATGTACATCCTCACTGAAAGGCCGCAATTATATAGGAAAAAATAAATAAAAGCTAAGCCAAACACGGTTATGATTGAATCAGCTAAAGTATATATAAGTAACGAGTTGTTATAAACAACAATTTAATTTACATAATGAATTGACATCGTATCAGTCATCTATAAAGAGCAAATTCATAGATCGTCCAGATGCTGGTCATGTTTTGTATTTTAGTATATTAATTTTGATTCGTTCGTTTGTTTTAAATTATACAATTTCTAATTAATTTAATTTGTTTTAGTATTTGACTTTGTATTTATATTTTGCACTAATTAATAACCACTCATTACCACTTATGCCACTGTTTTGGGTTGACTGGAAGATATCTCTACTAGGGATAAGTCAACCTTTGCTAACATTGTCTCTAAATTATATTATACTGTACTGTGTATCTGTGTGCAATAAATAATATATAGAACGTGTATAAAATTTCTTCAAGGTAGTACTCCTTGTGACCACACATTGTGTGTATAGAAACCGTGTGTATACTAGTTTATAGTTCGTCTACAGTCGTGCTTACGAGAGCAGCATGCTGATGTGATATTCTACTTTATAGCACACCTAAGCACGTATCAACTAGGTGATATGCACGCATTAAAAGATCTTTAAATAGTTTTTTTTAAATGTACGAAACCAGTTCTTTATTCTATTTATATATGACCCCTAAAGCCAGTTACGGTAAATCCTTATTGATAACCGCATTTAATGACCATCCAAATAACTACATTAGACTAAGTATTAAGTCTTTGAAAACAACTAGTGCCAGATATTTTCTCGGTATTTTTAAACAACGTCAAATACTACAATATATTACTTTTCACGATTGCAGTATTTTATCTTCAACTAGTTAATAAATATACGCGAAAAAAAGCAAATAGTTATTACTATGTATAATTTACTAAGTTCGACAAACTTTTTTATCTAGTCTTAAATTCAATTTCAAAATAACAATATTTCATTATACATTTCAGAATTAACATACAAATTATTGAATTTTACACATCCCAATTGGTTGTTAGGTCAGATTTTTCCTTTTATCAATGAGTATTTTAAACAATACATTTAATAATACCTATAGTTGATATAACTTTATAGCTATATTAGAATAAGAAATTAAATTTTCAGAGATATTTAAATTAGTAAAGACAATTTAAAATAATAATTTATTCCAACCACATAGGTGTGTAAGTAGTCAAATATCTCGTATCTTATTTGATCAAGGATGATGGACTATTCGGGGTTATTCCGGCATGAATTTAGCAAGGACACCGCGAAGCTTCCGGTATCTTAATTAAATTGGCTGATTCATCTCAAGCGTACTTACTGCCTTTAGCACAAATTCGTGATGCTAGGAAATTGACGTTTTTTGTTTATATTTAAATTAATAATAACATCTAACAGTCACAAAATATCATGTCGCGAAACGCGAGACGTTTTCGCGATCAGAGACGCGAAGCTGAATAAGCCGGTTCAGTTAATATATAACTGAATTAAAACAATATAACTAACTATTTTAACTAATAACCAGTTCTTGTTATTTCGAATAAACTGCTAATATTGGCGACAACTGAATATATGAAAAAAGATTTCATCAAATAAATTTAGAAATTATTAATAATCTTCATAACATTTAAATGTTGTTTTTTGTGAGTTTTGTGACTAGTGCAGCTTTTAGTGGATTGTGTAAGAAAATAGTAAAAAGTGTGATGATGAAGTACACGAAGCCAGTATTTTATTCAGTATCAGTTTTATAGTACCAGTCTATCTAGGTTTAAAAAACATGTTTTTGTTCATCGGAAGTTTGTAAGTATTTAATTTAATCAAAAGTAATAATTTAACCTAATAAAATAATATAATGACACATAAGGGGAAATATTTAACAATAAAATCATAATAGGAATGATTTTGTTTTATTATTACTACTATATTTACCACCTCTCAATAGCTTCTCAGTTAGATTCGTCCGGCAAAAAAATATGATCCTTGAATCCGAAGTATGAAATTCCGTCGACCTCGGTAATCCAGCTGTTTACCACAGCACTTTACGGTACAAATATTAGTATTCATGAATATGATTGTTTCTATTGTTCTTTGTGCTCTATATGTATATGAGGAAATTATGTATGTATTTACAAAAAAAATGTATCTATGTATATATGTCTATCAGCTGTCTAGTAGTTCGGTATACCACAAGTTCTGCTTCGCTTGGGACTAGATGGCGCTGTGTGAATTGTCAAAGATATCAAATTCAAATTAAATAAAATATAGAATAAATTTTGAAACTCCTTTCAAATAGAACATATTTTTTTCCTAATTGGTAATAAACGTCTTTTAACAATGTCGATTAATTTAAAAGACAGATGTAAATAGAAAACCAAAATCATGATATTGGATTTTATTGTATTACTGGCTGTTCCCGCGACTTCGTCCACGTGGAATTTAACTTTATTTTTCTAAAATAAAAGTAGCCTAAGTTACTCCTTATTACATTAGCTACAATGGCTGACCAACCTGGTCCAGCCATTTCAGAGATTAGCCGGATTAAACAGGCAGACAGATAGGCAAAAATTGTAAAACATGTTATTTTGTACCGTATTTATTTTCATATGCATGCAGTACAAAACAGTTATTTCACTATTATAAACGGACACTTTAATTTTATTTATATGTGTAGATTTATATTACATATTCAATTTTATTTAATCCTTCAAAATAAAATTGTAATTCAGGAAGCGGACAAATGCTGAAACAATGCGATATAATATAATTATACAATTCTCATTGGCAAAGTAAATAGTATGAGCAGATTTGATCACCATTTTGATGTCCAAAATTAAGAAATCCTACGATACATTTGCAATACTTTTTCTAACACAATACACTACTGTACAGATACAGCACGTGTTGTCGTTTAATCTATGTGATTTGACCGACACGTAATGTTAGTTGCATATAATACTTGCATCGATAATAGATGACATCACAACACTTTCTCAAACCGGCGACTGCACTACAGTAAGGCAGGTGTCCCTTGCCACGACCTTGCGCAAGAGCCTCGCATTCATACTCTGTTGACTTCGAGATCGGCGGCAGTCAGTAGAGCGCTATAGTGCGCGCGCGCACCGAAAATCGTACGTTCCAAAAAAAAACAAACCAATTTATCTCTAGTCGTTTAATTTAATTAATATAAAGCACTGTGAAGTGTATTGTGAGTTATATAGTGTGCAGGGAAATGTTCTACTCTACCGTTACCGAAGGAATGAAATGAGGGGAAGGACTGTTTGTTCACCAAGAAGACCTGTGATCCTCGGGAAAATCGTGATATACTGGATCTTCAATAAGGCTGATCTAGTTAACTTCGCACTCCGGTTCGTTTGATTCACACATGTATGTCACAACAATCAACCTGATTCTTTCTAATAAGAGAACTGATTTTACGTTACTTAATATTTGGTAATAGAATATCGTAATAACTGTGCAATAATAATGGAGAAATTAGAGCACGGATAATGGTCTCTAGATTCATTAATGTCTTTGTTTTGATGTAAGTGAAGTGAATTACACTACGTTCGTGGTAAAGTTCCGCATCTATGAAACTGTATGGTTCTGTAAATATCTAAACAGAGATAATTCATTATTACACATCATACCAGCTATTACGTGTAACATCGACCGCGAGGAATTATAGGCTATTATATTTTATTTAATTTAATAAAAAGAAATATTCCACGTAGACAACATAACAGAACATCGCTAGTGTATACATATTATAAAACAAACCCGCCATAATCTCAAAAACAACTGAACATATTTTTATGACCAAATCAGCATCGGACTAGATGTATAGTTTGTTAATATTTCTTATAAATTCATCGTAATACTCATGCGAAGTCGACATATGTCCCTAGTTAAATAAAGAATTCAGATATCCAATACATAGGCGTACTCGGAGATAAGTTAGTCATGTCCAGCCGCCGATCTGGAAGATAAGATTTGTTTTTTTTATGTAACTTGAAAAGTACACAACCTTACGACCCACCCTTAAATCTGTTGGCCGCATCTGGCCTTTACAGCTTCTCCGATCGATAGGTGGCGAGTGTCGATAGCACTTTAAACGCACGGATGGACTGGAGTTGGCTTAAGGTTACCTGACGGATATGACGGCATCGCTAAACCTCGGTTTAGGCTATCATAACTTTGATTCCCAATTGAATAAGAAGGATGGATGGCAAGACGATATTGTCGACAGAGAGAAACTTTCACCTATACAAATTTATGAGAATCATAATTTCATTACTATTTCAATCATTACTCTTTAAACTGAAATACAGCTTACAAATAGGCTAGATAATACCAGAAATCGGTTAGGCAGAGGTACCCAAAACATAATTTGAACACATTGTATGCTGTATAGGAAAAAGTATTAGAGTTTATTTAAGAAAAAACTATATATTAATTATTTACAACTACGAAATTTGATAATGCAGTAGGATGGTAGACAAGACAGTTCATTGTGACCATATCACGACTTAAAAACATATTTTTTTCTATTTATTATTAATTTAAATACACAATAATTTTGATGGAAAGCCTATAGGACACATCTGATTGTATATATTTTCAAATAAAAACTGATTTCTCTAATTGAATTTTTAAATTACGGACGTCTGAGGATAAAAAATAAATCAGATTTTACCTCCCCTTTTTATTAAAGTCGGTAAACAAGAAAACAACAATACGAGTATATAATTAAACAAATGTTTAATGGGTAACATTTTTAAGATAAAAGATATATGTATTCTTATACTAATGGACAATGCTGTTCGTACATTTAAAGTTGATAATAAGTAAGATTGATGAATAAGAGAAGATAGGTTTTGATTTGTCTATAAGGAGGTCAACTGATAATGCCTACGTATGTATATTAACAAGAGAATCATTTATTCTATTGGTTTTTCCTGATGATGTAATAACGTCACTTTTACCTAGTATTTGTAGATGTATTCTTAGAATTCTTACTACTAATTATCACAATTCATACAGAAGCCGTTACACATAGCTGGTCATATAGAAGCCGGTATATCCCATCGAGTGCTAGAGCTTCATCACAATATCAACATACATCTGAGACATCATACACCATAGACAAATTTAATAGTGTTAAATTTGTTTGTGCATCGTTGCATGTAGCCTATTTTTTTTTTAATTAAAATCAACCTACGTTAAAATTACAAATCTAGTAGTACATTATACTAGGGTTTGAGGGGGTTTATTGGACATGATAGGGTCCCGTATCAATCCCATAAAAAATAAACACGTCAATGTAGATTAGTTTGCGAGTTTTATTTGAAACACAATATCGTCTTAACTACATGCAATATATGAAAAAGTTTTATATATTTACTTATTTCACACTGCACTAGTACTATTAATGTAATACTTAACATACAAATAATTGTTTTTTATGATTTAACAATGTTACTTTCGTATAAAATTGCTAAGCACTTATTATAACTAAAGCAATTGTTTTCAGCAAAAACGCGAGCAATTAACATAGTGTCTATTTGTGACTTAATTCCAATTGACTACTAATGATGTAACTACATTGTTGTACTTGCACAAATTACATATATAGAGATAAGAACTTGCATTGTATCAACTATAGAATGTAATAAATTCCGTAATTGACATTGTGATGGCGAATAATGGAAGTGATAAGTGTGAGTAAATGTTATTTCAGGAATGTTATGTGATATTGAAAACTAGCTACCACCCCCGGTTGCGTATGACGCAGCGTTGCCAAATACTTTTCAGAAAAAAAACCTCCCTTTCAAAAGAAACTTCTTTTGTTCAAAGCGGACCACCTAAAAACTGTATTTCGAATACAAGATAAAAATCTTACGTAGGACATGCGGCTTAAAAAACAGTCACCGGTGTTGCACGTGCTAGCGTGCGGTTTTCCTCCACTACCCTTCGACCCTCGAGTAATCCCCAAAAAGCGGTACTAGGCCCGTCCATCACGGGACATTTAGTTTTAGCCTAAAAAATCGAGACGTAGTCGTCGTGTCCTTTCAAAACGCGTATAAAACGCAAAAACAAGTTCATATGATGTTTATTTTTTACTATTTCAACATACATTTCATATGTTTTGAAATGCAGTCCATGTTTACTCGTTGATGATATAGTCTTCTATAGAGAAAAATAAAATAGGAGTCAATGTTTATGGTTTATACGAGTTTTAGACAATTAAGGCTTTTATTGGCATGGTATTACATTTTTAACTAATTTCAATATTTATAATTATGTATCATAATATTAGAAACACGTACACGTATATTAGATTTAAATGCTTTTTCCTATTTGCATATCTAACAATCTTTATTTCGTGTTTTTGTAGTGTGTAATTTCGACATTTTGTCATAATCATAATATTATCTTTTGCAACTATTACATTAGTTTTGTTATATAAGTAGATACGACATTTATAATATCATTATTTACAAATTGTTTATTTGTAACGCTTTTAAATTTAATAGCACTCGTTCCTTCAATTCATATTTTTTTTACTCTTTAAGCGACTGCGGAAAAGAGGAAATTCACATATCAATGGTACTTTTATGTATATCTTCCTAATAACAACCCACAAGCTTATATTACAAGCTATGTTCGGTTTGAAGGGTGAGATATGGCAGTGAAATTACAGAATACGCCGACATGATTTTCTCAATTCCTACTATATAAAAACGTCAGTATGTACGACGGTAGGTATGATAGCTTTATTAAAAGAAAGCCAATAAAAAAGTCATAAGAAACCATCGCCAAAACTGTACGGACTTGATGAACTGGACGGATGATTCTTTTTTACAAATGATTTCTTGTGCAACAATGTATAATTCAACAACGTATATAGTATTCATAACATATATGAGGCAAAATGTAACTAATCCTTTATTCATTTGTTTCAGGTTTGTTTGGTATGCGTGTCATTTACACGTCCGATCATCGATGAACAGCAGTGTTGATTTTTTTGAAAGTCTAATTGATGAAGACGGCCGGTTCGCTGAACTAAATTGTCAGGAACCTGTGCGAGGACACAGGTCACGTCTGCGGCCACTGATTCAAGGTATAAACGTACTTTCATTATTATATTCCGGTTCTATTCTTATTCGTGTATACTTATATTATAAATGCTGAGTAAAATGCAAAATTACACTGTTCATTTTCCTTAAAAAGATATATCAATTTCATATTCCTTATATATAGCATACGTCTTCCAGATTTAAATGTCAATTTTGAAGTTATTGTGAACATAGGACTTCTCTTAAATCACTTCTGAACGCTTGACATTAGTTACCCTTCCCTTTCCTTCGGTTCATGCGTAGAAATAAGCATGGTCATTTCAAATAAGCATTGATATTTAATCAATCCGATGATACATCTTTGTGTTGAATTGCATTGACATATCACATAGAATGAGTTTAAGACCTGCTTAGGGTTAAATTTACATATATATGCTGAAGTTTATGGGACTAAAATCTTTACATTATATATACTTTATATTAGTAATACTTTATATTAGTTTGCAAATAAGTTCACCAAAAAGAGAATAAATAAACATCAAAGTTTACAAAAGTAGTCGGCTGTCTTTCTTGGAATTGTCTGTAACAGAAAATATATAGCTTCTACGGAGATTTATGAAGATCAATTAACATTTATTTTGTTTTATTGGTTAATCCATAAAATCGATTAGAAAATATGACTAGTCGAAATATATTTTATGTGGTACCCAACAATATCAATATTATAGAATACGATGATTTGTAGGTATTGTAACCGTCCATCGAGTGCATATAAAACATCGATGTATATCGTACAACCCTAGTCCCTATGTCAAACTCTACGCGTCAAGTTTGAGAAAAAATACCAATGAACAAATCAAGATGGCTGACCTCAGTGTATAAACCATGGTCCAAATGTTTCATTATTAAAAAGATAGTAGATCACTAAGCCAGTATTAATAATGTCGAATCTGTGTTCAAGGATTGTTTCTAAACCGCCTAAAAGATTGCAAGAAAGTAGAGATAGTATGTCAGTGGCTCAAACAAATACATGGATGAACGGTGAGCGATGGCGCTTTGTAAATATTGATTTTTTTCAAAGACCTTCGTGTAGTTAAAGCTCATTTTACGACGTAATTGAGGTCATTAACAAGTTATTTTAAGATAAAATAGTATAATATTCGCTGTTTATGTTATTATATGAGAGAACAAAAAGTGTAACTGTCAGAATATCGACATATATGTGGTAGTATTTCGATCGATTTTAGACTAAGGCGAATAAAGACTGAACAATTCATAGCTTAATCAATGCATTTAAATTACAGCAGAAACTATAAACAATGGTGGAGGTTTATCAATGTCCCCACCGCACACCATATCTCAGCGTGAGACAGGCACCCAGGTGTCACAATGCTACAGTGGCCCTCCATCTCCTAGTGGATCAACAAGCTCCACACCTTCGCCTACGGCATCCCCAGCGCCGCCCCCAGGCACAGCCACCCTTGACCCTAACTGGCAAGCTACCAAACACACTGTCCGAGAAAGGAATGCTGCTATGTTTAATAACCAATTAATGTCAGATATCAAATTCATTGTAGGTAGCCCAGGTGAGCATTATATTCAGTATTTTAGTTGCATGTTGCAGCTGACAGTTGACACTTTGAGATATTTTCAGTGTACAATTTTTATTTTATTATATTGTAATATAACAATCCAATTATAACTAATATTTTCTCCTTTATATACATAATAATAATATATATATATTAAAATTGGTGAATTTCAACTAAAATAATCTTAATATTAAGAAGACACACAAATTATGTTCATACAAAATAGAATAATAACATCATTTCAAGGATGACATCAAACAAAATTATTCATCATGAAAGACATAGAATTCATTGTAATATTTTCATTTTGTGCTTGTATACTAAGATATGAATATTATTTTATTTCCAGGGAACATACAAGTAATACCAGCCCACAAGTATGTATTAGCAACAGCTAGCTCAGTATTTTATGCTATGTTTTATGGAGGGCTTGCAGAGTGCAAGCAAGAAATTGAAGTACCTGATGTGGAACCGTCAGCATTCTTAACACTACTCAAGTAAGCCTTGTTTAACATTTTTTACTTTATTATTATATTACTTTTATATATATATGAATAATTTTACTTGTTTATTTTCAGATATGTATACTGTGATGAAATACAATTAGAAGCTGACACTGTTTTATCAACATTATATGTGGCTAAGAAATACATTGTACCATATTTAGCAAGAGCATGTGTCAGCTATTTGGAAACTAGTCTCACGGCAAAAAATGCTTGTCTACTTCTTAGCCAGTCAAGATTATTTGAGGAACCAGAATTGATGCAAAGATGTTGGGAAGTTATAGATGCTCAGGTATGTGAGTCAACTGAAAACTTAGCCACACTTTGCTTAGAACCATCTACTTCGTACAGTAGTCTACTGATGGAGCTGTCAGACACTTCAAGTCAGAACTACTCAAGTCCAGAAAGTATTGAAAACCTTACCACCAATTGCATTAATTAATTAATTTTAATAGCATTTAAGACATTCCCAACATATCTGTATATAGATTATTATCAAACATAATAACTATTATTATTAGGTTAATTACATGTTTTCTTTAAAGACTCATATTCTGGCACTATACTAGGTAATCTGTCTTTAAATACTCAATCTCTAGCACTATATTACCTATTGATGATAAAATGATTGCCATATCATAAATAACTTGTGCCACAATTATAAATTATGGACTTTTGTAATTTTCGGTTGTGATTTAGGTTAAGAATAAGATGAATTTATTTCCTGACATTGTACAAAATCATACTTTGCCATTGCATTCCACTGTCCATAATTTTTATTTCTAGTCAATATGTCTAGACATAATTATCTAGAATAACTGCAATACAGTTTAATGTTGTTTGCATGTTTAGATTTAGTATTATACAAGTGATTATTACATGTAATATTTTGTAATTTCACATAGAGATCTGAATAAATTATTAAACAAATTGTATTGCAGTTTCAATAAACCTATACCTAAAACATTTCATTTTATTGTAGGCTGAGATGGCCCTAAATTCTGAAGGATTTGTAGACATTGATGTGTCTACTTTAGAATCAGTATTAGCAAGAGAGACACTCAACTGCAAGGAAATAAACTTATTTGAAGCTGCATTAGCTTGGGCCAGTGCAGAATGTGGCCGAAGGGAAATAGAACAATCACCAATTAACAAGAGAGCTATGCTTGGTAGTGCCATATACTTAATAAGATTTCCAACAATGACATTAGAGGAGTTTGCAAATAGCGCAGCACAACTTGGAATTTTAACACCACAAGAAACTATTGATATATTTTTGCATTTCACTGCATCTAGCAAACCACAACTATCATACCCAATTAAAGCTAGAGCTGGATTAAAAGCTCAGGTAATAATTATGTAACTAATCTTTAATTAATACTATGTTCTCAATATGAGAGTAATAATTGAATAATATAAATAATACAATTACTGTTTTCAGATCTGTCACAGATTCCAATCATGTGCATATAGAAGCAACCAGTGGAGATATCGCGGCCGGTGTGACTCTATACAATTTTGTGTAGACAAGAGAATATTTGTTGTTGGTTTTGGACTATATGGATCGTCAAACGGAGCAGCTGATTATAATGTTAAGATTGAATTGAAGCGCCTAGGAAGAGTATTGGCAGAAAATAACACAAAATTTTTCTCAGATGGTTCAAGTAACACTTTTCATGTATATTTTGAAAATCCAATACAAATAGAGCCTGAAACATATTATACAGCCTCAGCTATACTTGATGGTAGTGAACTAAGTTATTTTGGACAAGAAGGGCTTAGTGAGGTATACATGGGTACAGTGACCTTTCAATTCCATTGTTCATCTGAGAGTACTAATGGCACAGGTGTACAAGGAGGTCAAATACCAGAGCTCATTTACTATGGCCCGACAGTAAATACCACTATGACCAACTCAAATACAACCGAGGACTGACAATTGTGCAGATCTCGCCATCTCAATTATTACTCAGTATAATGCAAAAAGGTTGATAAATTTAATTAGAATGCTCAATTATATTCTCAAAAAAGTTTCCAATTCATATGTTTATACTTAACCATTCCCAAATGTTAAAATTGTTTTGTTGAAATTTGTGTAAGAGTTCTTGTGTATATTGTTGGACTTGTATAGGAATTAAGAGAACCTTAAGATTGTGATATGGGTGTTGTAAAGCTCTCTAGAAATATAGATTTAAATGAATTCGTAAAACATTACAATAAATTAATAATACCTAAATATGTTTGTTATTTCTTTCCATGGATAGTTAATAGAATAGGATAGTGTAAGCTGCAGAAATACAAATCACAAACAGATCTGTACATAGCGTTTTTGTATTTATAATGTTATTGTCTAAATGTAAATTATTACTGTGGGATTATTAACATGGGAGTCAATACTAATATGGATTTCATAAATCTTACTAAATACCATTCCCAGGTACTAAAGCCTATAATATTAAGCATCGCCCACACCATGCACCAAGGGCCTAAATATAAATATATATAATACTCATTTCAATATAATTTACAGAAAATGTAAATAAACATTTTATCTTGAAAATTATCATCTAACATGTATTGAGTCTTAAGAGTTTTAACTGTATATGTCAGAACTTTTGGTAACACCATTTACTTGTACTTAATTTATAAATTGTATTTGGAACTTCTATATGTCGAAAAGAAGGATATACGGAAAATAATCGCCCAAGTGTTTAATACAAATCTTAGTAGTCGAATAAATAAATTGAATAGATGAATTGAAATATTCAACATATTTTTTTCATTGTTCCTTAACTTGGTTAGAATCACGCAATTATTGTTCTTATTTTATAGGTAATTATAAATCTCTATATATAGAAAATTCCCATGTTACTGTGTTAGTTTCCACACTTTTTCAATTTTGATGAAATATCATAGGGCTGAAAATAGGTTGTTATCTATTTTTTATACCCTTGACTGATATGGGTGGCCCCAACCCAAATTTTATTTTTTATATATTAGGCAAATATTTTATTTCTTTCCTAAATTCACCTTTCTATCATCTGCCCCTTATTTTTGATACCAATATTAGTACATCAATTTATATTCGAAAACAATATTTACTGGGTATTATTATTATTGTATAATAATAATATTGTAAAACAAATATAAATCATATGTTTTTCTTACCTGTCGGAGGTATAACAATGCAGAGTGCCCGTGATAATCTGAAGTATGTACGGCCAAGTTGATAGCAACATATTTGTAGAGCATCACTAATATCTATTAAAAGATCTGATAGTGTGTTAAGGAAATGATAATAAGTATACTCATGGTAGTAATTACAAAGGGGCAATAGTGTTATGCAATTGCTCGTCATTATAAATAAAATACAGCGTAATCCTACTACTCAAGTAATCCCTCAAATTGTATAATCTTTATATAGTATAATATAAATATTTATAACTATGCAATGGATTTTAATGCAACTTTTAGCAACAAATAGAGTGATTCAAGAGGAAGGTTTATATCGATAATACATGTACACCCTTATGAAACCCTAGCGGGTAGCTATATGATGCACTGAAGAGCCAGTTTATGTAATATTCAATCCTAAATATATCTATTCAAATTCAACACACCCAATGTTTTCAATAGACTGACTTACTGTATGTGGTATCCTCATACCACATACAGTAATTTTCAAAAAAGTTGAAAGCATAACCATCATTAAGTGAATAACACGTGTATTGTTTTTAAATACAGAATGGGTTAAATGTTGACAATGGAGTCTGAATTAATTTGTTTCCATGTCTTTTTATTTTGATGAATATTAATTCAATTTGATTTACAACTATTCTATTTTGTAAAGGATACGATCAGTCCTCTCTGTTCTACAAGTCATGTACACACAGGCAGCTTGTGTATGAGTTGCTGGTCGTCCAATTGTGAGATGACGAGTTAGTGCCATCTTAAAGAAATTACAAGCAATGTCAATGCATTGTTGATTCAAATGTAATTGTTGACACAATGTCGTAATGCCCTCTCTTGCTTTTCTTAATGTTAGTTCTCTTGATTCCTGCCCAATGCCAGCATTGAATGCTTAAAAAAATATTAATTATATTAACAATTTATTACACTAGACATGTATAATAAATAACATCATTTACAGAGGAAGTATGTACAAAAGGTGGTTTTATCGCTTAAGCAATCTCTTCTCAATAAAGATGCAATGTATACTAATGTTTTTTCTAGTAAAACATACATTATAACAATATATTTTCAAACAGATACAAGTGTCCCTTTTGTCAAGTTATTCTGATAGGTTATATTGAAATAAAAGTAGCATCAAGAATCTTTCCCCTATTACTTTTAGCCATTTGCCACATAATATTAGAGCTACCACTCTCATGATTGTGTATAAGAGTAGTCATTGTAAAACTCAGAACTTATATCTTAATTGTGAAGCGTGACTCTCATATTGTTTTAATATTAGGAAAAAAATCCTCCATACAACATGAAAACATATTTATTAAATCATTAAATTATGTCATTGAATAAAAAAATATTTTTTAAACTGGTACAGTTTAAAAAATATTTTAAATTTTAAATAACACAAATTTTAAATTGTGCAAGAGAACTTAAACCTTTTAAAAGAACCTCAATGTTTTAGCATAAGAACAAAAACGAAATAATATTAGTATCAATTTACTTTGTAAAAGTTCGACAATCAAGTTTTATTTATATATTATTAATGAAGAAAGATGATATTTATAAAAGGAGCCTACGCTCAGACAAAACGGCCGATAGGGATCTGTAGAAATAACAGGATAAAAGTAAGGCAATGAATTTTTTTTTATTGAAAACAGTGGTAAATATACTTATTAAACAAAACATTCTGATTGGTAAACTTATGATAAACATTATTCAAACTTTATATGAAATATTAATGTTTCGGAATTTTAATTATTTTAACAACTAACCTCGTCCAAATCCAGTTGCTCCACCTTTAGATTCTGCTGAAACAAACTGTCCAATAGCTGAAGCACCACCATGAGCGTTCTCTTGAAATTCGATTTCCGCTACTATTATATTATCCTCCAACACTGTGCCACAGCTTGTGCATACTGCATCACCTCGAGCTGGATCTACTTCGATCTCTGAAGATCCACAGTGTTTACATTTCTTACCAGACATGTTAACTGTAAGTGGACGAGTGTATAGGTATATATATTATATAAAATTAATAGGTTTATAATAAAGTCAAGTTGTTCTTAGGTTAATAATTGGTTGCTTTTATATTATCAATACACATTTTCATTAATTTACTTAATACATATTATGACATTAAAAGTTTGGTTATTTTTTAATGTGTCAAAAATTGATTACCACTAGACAGTGACAACACTCATGACAATTCAGATATTGTGTTTGAAAATTAAAAAGAATGGCGGCAATGTGGATTACATTGATTCATGAGATATTGCAGTAAGGAAATCTGTCCTTTTCGCACATTTGCCTTCATAAAAATAAAATTTATTTTCTAAATAGAAAGAAAGGAAATTTGTTTATATATAAATATTACGTATCGTCAATTTAATATGTTATAATGTCGCAATAAGTTAGGTACTTACATTAATTACACAACATAGCGTACAGTTCGTAAAAATAATTGATCTATGTAATTAAAACATTTACTAAAATTTTAAACTTATTTTTAATTATTTAAACTTGGGAAAACACCGTATTTCGTGGCTATTCGTTAGATTTTTTTATTTTTCCTTCTGTTGTGTTAGATAAAGAACTGATAAAGAACCAACGTGGAGTACCAATACCAATATTCATATTTATTTTGGTGAAAATAGAGTACAGTAAAATGAAGGTACTCCAACCTTTATTTTACAATGCTTCGGATATATGTACTACTATATACTATTGCCTATGGTTTCATTTAATTTACTAGTACTACTATAGACTTGACTATGCGTTTTATAAAGTGTCTACACACGGCACTAAAATTAGGGAGAATATAAGACCACACGAAAATAAGAATAGCGACATTATGCGATATGGGCAAAAATTTCGCTACACACAAATATGTTTAAGAAGTGATAGAGGGCGCTCCTCAGCTCTGCGCCGAATTACCACCGATTTCAGAGTCGTGTGTTAGCCATTTCAATCAAACAAACCCTACCTGTAGGTACTTGTCCTTGCTCAATGTTCGTACTTTCGCCAGAAATCCGCCCAACCAGGGTCAGTACACTAATGACGTCAGACTCAAGATTGATTATGATTGGTTGATTATCACGCCACTATCTCAATTATAGAAGGTGAGATCACCCTTCAAATTTTGTATTGCCTCAACAACCATAGTCAAGAATCAGTGACTAAAAAGTAATATGCTTTGAGAATACTATAGGCGGTTACGCTATTTTATAAATTGATACAACTTGTAAAAGAAGGGCATCCCCAAAGTGAGGACGACGTCATCGTTCTTGGTTATGTATGCGTAGTTGTATACACACTTTCAGTGATGTGATGTGATGACTCATCATTGTTGTGTTCTCGTTAGTGTCTAATCTCTTGAGACATTTTTAAATAGGTATTTTGATTTCTTTACCTTTTGCTGACATTTAGAACTGTCAGATTGAACATACGAGTGCACGTATCTGTGATACCTTTGTAGAAGTTTCTACGGTAAACTTTTTTATTTGTTGTAATTCTAGTACAAATTTATGCACAAATATCTCAAACATCTACATTGATAAGATTTGCACCATTACGTAAATCAGTTGTTGCGGGCAGGATTTTTTTTGTTTTGTGTTGTGAACAAAATAGACTGATGACGATGAAGCTGGAAGTTAGTGACAGTCAGTCCAACCACTCTGACTTCTCTTGTGATGATAGTCAATCCTCACAAGGGTCCTCTACAAATGATTTCATATCATCGGTGCCTACATCCAGGTCTATGCTTACAGTAAGTACATTCCAATGTATCCAATAGATTCTATATATAAGTTTTAGAAAGAATAATCAAACATATATGGCCTTGATTTGCCAATCAATGTCATTTTCATTACTGATAGACAGTAATTCTGCATTATAGTTACATTATTTTGTTTACAACAGAAGTGAACTGTATATTGATAAACAAATTTATATATTATATAAATTGAAATTCAATTTGAATGTATATTTATCTATTCTGTGGGGTAGTGCTTTATTCACTATTTTTAGGATTTATTATCAAAACAATAAACAATAATAATTTTATATTCCTTATGATAATTATAGTATGTATTGTAAATGTATTTTTATTTAATTAACAATGATCATGTGGGATGTTAAACATTAATTTTTATTATGATATACAATAATGAACATGGATAATAAATACAAGAAACAAGTATAAAATAATTATAAAAAGTAAAATTTCAATTGTAGGTTTCAATATCATTCATTTATAAGCATAAGTAATCATTCAACACACCACAACACATTTGTGGTGTGTTGAATGATTACTTATTACTTGTGCTTCATGCGAAACATTACTGATATTGAAACCTTCAATTGAAATTTTACTTTTTATATCCAATGGTCTGGGCTCTGCTTGATAGATTTATTTTTGTCAGATAGGATATGTCTTTTTGTATATACTTAAAGTAGAAATAGAAGTTTACTACTATACCCAACATTTTTACTATATGCAATTTATGACTAAAATCTCTAAGTACAACCCAATTTTAACTTCCATTTTCATAACTTGAAATCTATAAATCTGTTAAGAATATTGAGCGAATGATATTTTCCGACCAGTTAAACTCACAATTTTACAATACTGTGTTAGTCTAGAATAATTTTTTATTACAAGGGTTTTATAAAAATAAGATTTATAGTGTCTTTTGATAAGATAAAGTCTGTGTTAGTCATCATTACTGAAATGCTAATGTTATGTCATGTGATGATATGTAGAATAGTATGTAGATAAGTAGGATTTCATATTTCTTAGAAGAAAGCTGTAATGATTGTAAAATGGTTAAACTGCAAATTATGTACATAATAGGGATACCTATTATGTACATAATTTACAGTAGGTCTAAAAATTAAGTGGTGGTGCTTGAAGATGTAATATTGTGAGCAAGAATAGGTAGTAAAAATACTTCAATTTATATGGTATCTCTGTTTACTAAAATACTTGCCATTATAATACAAATGCTATTTATTGCTATCAAATTCCCTGTTTCACTTAAATGCTATCAGTTTGCTGAGATTTTTTAATACTAATCTTTTTGCACTCACTAATTTTATCTAGGTACTTCAAATCTAAATGTAGCTATTCATATTTAGAAAGGGGAGGGGGCTTTCTACATAACTTGGTTGTAACCTAAACATATGGCACAAAACTTGGGACCCCCACTCCTGCATTTTGAAATTAATTTATCATTAGAAATATTTCTCTCTTCTATTTTAATAAAATTAATATAAATTATTATATAGTTCACACATTTACATATTTTTATAATATATCTATACTGTTAGGTGGCAGGTATGATTTTTGATTAATTCTTGCTTTATTCAATTAAAAAAAAAATGCAGGTTAAAATAGGTACCTACTTATATTAATTTACATACTGGTCATCAGTAATTGAAAATAATATTTTTTTCCAGAATTATCTCTTATTTATGACAATAAAATTCCTGAATGTGAATCTAGTACAAAATAAATTAATTCTTAAGCAGAAATTGTGTCACACAATTTTAAGAATGAAATATCTTTTACATTGGTGTAGTGTAGACTAAAATAAAATAATTATTCCAAGTAAACGTAATCTATTTTTTTATAAATTATAATAGAATAGTGTTGCAGAGTTCTATACCTATATATGTCACCCTTGTCTACCATTATATAGACAGAATCAAATTAATATGTAATGCACCTCTCTAATTCTGTAAAAACAAAGCACATTATGGGCTTAACATGAATTTGTAGCAGGAAAACGGCATGTAGTGCCGGTGGCCGCGGTCGGCGCTGACGTCAGTGGTTCGAGGAAAACTCGCGGTAGTGGGCCCACGCGCCGAACAGACCAATAAGTAGCACCACACTAATATGTATCTATGTATACATATTACTGAGTTGTTTGGTCAAGTAATTGTGAATTATTACCGTAATGCTGAGAAAGGGTATCGGAATGACTTTCAGATATATATGCATGTATATCTGTAATGTAGAGTAACCAAATACGTATGTAATTTCATCAAAAATCTAGATGTATGTGTTTTTATGAAATAACTTCGAATAGAAAGAGGTTCTTTGTTCAACTCTTGACTGAAAAAATCCACTTAGGAATATGAACGCCATTATCTTTTTTCACTTTCGAATATACCTATTCCGTAATAATAAAGTAAAATGTGTAAGTCTTCGAATCCAAAAGGTCTAATAACGCTAACGGGCTAACATTTACTAATATTATTCATTTGTAATATATTATTATTTTTATATAAGGCCAATAAGGAGGTACCAATATTTATTAAAATTAATAATATATTTTTATATATTTTTTATATAAAGAAATGGCACATGAATTACACCACCAAATAATTAAAATATCGTAATTTTAAAACATTAAAACCTGAAAGGGAGGATTAGAGGTCGAAAGTAACTAGTAAGTAGCCTAAGTTCGATAGGTGTTGTATGTGATAGTAAACATCATTTTGTTTTACTTCTTTACTGACATATATTCAGATAAAAAATATGAAAAGAACATGCACAGCTTCCTCCTCAATATCTCCGAAATTTCTGTAATATATTATTAATAATTACAGTTGATTGAGGCTCAATATGTAAGAATCTAAAACAAGAAAAATGTTTTAATGATTTTTTAAAAGTGATACGAGTTAAAACCTCGTACAGAATTTAATATGTTTTTAATAAATACAGTTTAATGAAGTTTAGTCTTCCGTATAGATAACAAACTATTTGATTTTTACTCATTATAATTATGGTATATTAATTAGACAGACTTGTAAAACTATTTCATAGGTTATATTTGTATATATATAGATATTTCGAGAAATTTTCCTCTATACTAAATTATTTTCGGGAATCACCAACCTTGAATACTGCTTTTCCTGTATTAATCTAGTATTCTTCGTATTTAGTGAGTGTTTACTTATAGATAAGAACTGATGTCACAAACTACTCAGTATGGTAGTTAGATATATGTTGAATGTTTTGAAAAATGCTTAGTGGTGTAATTTAAATTTTCAGGCATCTTTTCTATTGCATTTATTTTTTATGGTACATAAATCCGCTACTCTGTTCCATTTTACGTTGGTGCAATCGGAAACTTCGTATTACGTAAATTATGGATCTCCAATTGAAATAGTACTAATAAATACATAAATATTTATAGATAATAAAAGCTCTTAAAACATTTTCTGTGATACAGTATCGATTTTAAAGCTTGTGTTTATTAATGTCATCTGTCAATGGCCAGTGTTCTTATTTTTTTTATATCTTAAAAATATATTTACTTTATAAATTTTAAATTAAAAAAAACAATATAGCAATAGCTGCCACACGCAATGCCATCTAGTCCCAATCTAAGCAGTGCTTGTTATATTTACTAAACGACTGATAGAAGTAGGTACACAAAGCCTTAAACTTTTTACTTGATTTTTAAAATTCTAAGTACATATTAATACACATGGATAACACCCAGACCTATACAAATCATCATACCCATAGATACAAATGTTAGTCATGTGTGAGGAATCGAACCGGCGACCACTGAAAGCATAGTGGTGTGCTAAACCGCTGGACCACCGAGACCTTGAAATAAGTGTTTCTACCCCTCTCATTCCCAAATTACGTACCTTCGTAAAAGTTATTCAGTTTAATGAATGGATACCTACGAATGGGACAAACGACCAAGGAGAATAGCTATCTACGTTGGTCGTTTGTCCCATTATAACATAAGGGTTAAGTTATTCAACAGTAATATGCAGGTATTTTAAAGGAATGTAATGAGTAGGTTGTGGTCCACATTGTGGAATCACCTTCCAGTAATGGTATTTCCGAATGGATAAAATTGAAACCTTCAAGAAAAGAGTTTATTCCTTGTTGAAAGGCCGGCAACGCACTTGCAATTCCCCTGGTGCTTATGGATTACGGTAATGACTTACCATCAGGTGAGGCATAAGCTCGTTTGTCCCTTGTGTTAATAAAATGGTTGGTCTTTGGTGTGTGTACCTGTATTAATCGAAAACATGAAAAGTATCGTAACACGAAAAGTAATAGTAATTCTATGAACTACTTTAATTATGATTGATTAATGAAATATAACTATACAATATTAGTGGAATTCAAGATAAACACTCAACACAGTGAATCATTCAGGGTATAGTTCAAGGGTACACACATTACCCCAGCGTGGCACGCGAGCTAACGCTTCCAGTAGTTTGACCCTTATTTCTGAGAACCGTTCTCGGTTCTACGATTTGCGATCACTATCAAATAAATTATGTTGTCATACTATCGATCACCTGGTTATATGAAAGTTTTGTGTTAATGTATACCGAATACTAATTCCAATATATGTTGAAGGTAGAAAAACACCGCGGATTTATTTGCACTGCACGCGATGTCATTAACTTTCGTTCCCTCGGGAATTATCATAAACCCTTTTTTTGGATTACGAATATTTATAAAGTAATGAATAAATAAAATAGAGAGTAGACTGTATATTTCGAAAAGAAAGGAATTATTGTAAAGGGCAGGAGACATACGATTTGGCTGTGGGAAGAATGTCTTCTACACTCCGAAGACCCAAAAAAGTAAGACCAAACTTACTCACCTTTGTTCAGGAAAATCCCGATGTTGTTGATTGTCCGATTGTTGTTGAACATACAGTTTAGTGACCACGCACTCGAGAGTACACTCTCGAGTGCGTGGCCACTAAACTGTATTAAACTAAA